GACTGCTCAGCAACATTACGGATATAAGTTCATCACATTATCTCAGGAATGTTGGGTTGTAGTTGGTGAGGCATATATGATGTCCGACGAGCGTACATCTGTCCATGTGATGTTGTGGTGAGTTATATCTTTTTCATGTTGTCGGTTTATGTCCATTTTATTCCACTTATTGTGTTGGGTAGAAGTTTTACAAACGAAACTTCTTGTCTGTTTGAGGGTAAGTATCTTAATCGTTAATGTTTTATCTAAAATTATAAATATAGGCAAAAACAACAGGTGTAGTATTTGAGCTTATACATTAAATGGACCTATAATTTCGGAGGCTCTCAGATAGGAACTAGGACTACTGTCGTTTGCAAACTCGTGTAGTTTGTCGTTAAGCACTTTTTTGAAGGAGGCCAATGTACCTGCTTGACGCATTTCCATTGGTAGTTTATTCCATATCTGTGCATACCTAATCAAATAAAACTTTTGCCTGGTAGCTGTTTTACATTGTTCGATAGCTACTGTACCCTTAGTGTGTCTTAGTTTGTAGCCACTGTCATCTGAAAGTCGAATGCCATTAGTAGAGGTAAAAACTAAGTGGTTTAGAAGCTTATAGTAAAGTGTTAAGTTTAGTCTCAGGCGTCTTAGCCATAGTGTTTCTAATCCTAGGGTGTCACATCTAGTGGAGTAGTTCGCACCATTTTCGGTTCCGAGTAATTTTGACGTGAAGTACCTCTGCACTCCCTCGACTTTCAATTTGTCCTCTATGCGTATACTACTATACATGAATGAACAGTAATCAAATAAAGGACGCACACAAACCTTGTACAACAGAATTCTGGACTCATTTCTGTAAAAGTTCCTGAGTAGAAAGCCGATAAGTCTGCGTGACTTTGACACTTGTTTGGAGATATGTTCAGAAAATGATAAGTCATGTGAGTATTTCAGTCCTAGGTCCAATACAGATTCCAGTCGTAAGAGTGCATGGCCTTGAATTGTCAGGTCAAGTTCTAAATTGTTGCAACCTATGCAGAGCCAGCCACATTTGTCGACATTAAACTGGAGTTGCCAGGTGTCACACCATCTGTCCATTTTTTTTAATTCTTGCTGTATGGCGTTTACTGTTATTCCGAGATCTGTGTTCTTGCATTTATAGGTCACTTTTAAGTCATCTGCATATAGTATTGGTTTACCAACACTAAAGCATTCACAGATACTGTTTATATATATTATGAATAGGAGTGGGCCTAATACACTTCCCTGGATTACACCACTACTTACTGGTTTAGGCCTTGAGATTATCGAGCCAACTTTTGTTATCTGACTTCTGTCACAGAGAAATGATTTTATCCAGCTCAGGAGAGGGTCACATATCCCTAGTGAGCATAACCTGCTGACTAGCAGATTATGGGGGACTCTATCGAAGGCTTTTGTTATATCGAAATATAGCACAATTACTAGTTCTCTGTTGTCCCTGCTTCGTGTAACTTCATTGAAAAAGTCTATGTGACAGGTCGCACATGATCTCTTTTTGAGGAATCCGTGTTGTGATGGGTTGATAAGTTCATGTTCTAGTAAGTTGTCTGACACTTGGTCTTTAACCACTTTCTCCATTATTCGTGATATTACCGGTGTTATATTAATAGGTCTATAGTTGCATGCACTGGTTTTGGCCCCTGCTTTGTGCTTAGGTAATATGTATGTGGTTTTCCACACTTCAGGATAAGTTCCAGTTTCCAGTGACAGAGTAAATATTCTAAGTAACAAGACTACCATTTCCGTGCTACCATTTTTGTATATGACAGATGGTATGTCGTCTGTTCCAGTACTGCCATTTGACTTCAATGTCTTAATCGCTGAGTCTATATTTTGTATATTAAAATCTATTTCTCCTAATTTGTGGTTACTTTTGCAGGTCATTTGGAAATTTGGGGTCGGGTGCACTCTGGTGTCATTGCAAAACCACTCACTGAGGAGTTCACTTATAACCTGGGGATCGTTGTATATTACACCCCTATGTTCCAAGATGCTTACATTATTGTCTTTACTGCTTTTTAGACGTTTTTGCAATATCCTACAAAGTTCCTGAGTTTTGGTGTTACCCATTAGCGCTTTATTTTCCTCATGTTGTGACTTCATTTTGTGTTTCTCTTCAAGCAGTTTAAGAGTTTCATGTATTTGGTTTAACGCATTAAATTCCTTAAATACATGGTATTTCCTTTCCAATTTCTTTAGTTTTAGTCGCGTTTTCCGGTCAATAAATGGAGTTGGTGTCTTTAGGGCAGATTTTAGGGGCGCGATTGTGTCTCTTGCTGAGCCAACTGTTTTGTAGAAAATCTCAAGTGATACTTCTAAGTTATTGTTGATGAAGTATTCTTCCCAGTCAGAACTTCTCAACAGATCTGATAGGAATTCCCAATCAGCATTCTTATAGTCCCTATATTGATAGCGCACCGGGGAATTTTTAGGTGTGTATTTAGTTGTTAGTCGGAGGGGGAGCGTGCAGTACAATATGTTGTGATCACTGTTATCGAGTTTATTTCCCACCTCTATCGAGATGGGCTCTATGTTATGACAGAGGATTAAGTCAAGAGTATTTTGGTTCCTTGTAGGGAGGCGCACGCACTGCTTCCATCCTCCTATGTCTATAGCTTGTAGTAGCTCTTCATGGATTCTTGGTCCTGTACAGGTATCCCAGTTTACTCCAGGTAAGTTGAAATCTCCACATACTACTTTGTAGTCGAAGTCCAGCGTGGCTACATGCTCTAGTATTTCTGCAATAGTTATATCAGTCATTTCAGGGCTATTGGGGGGTCTGTATATACATCCCACGAGAATTTTACTTTCGTTTGTGTGGATGCTTATCCACTTAGATTCTGGGAGTTTGTCAGTATTTGGGTTATTGAAAGTATTGGAGTTAGTGGATTTATAGGCATATATTAAGCAACCGCCTCCTCTTTTGTCAACTCTATCGTTCCTATAGATGTCGTAGTTGTCTATTACTAGCTTTGTGTCAGGTATATCAGTAGTAAGCCAGGTTTCAGTCACCATTATTAGTGTTGGCCGTTCTATGTATGCCAGGCAGCGAAGCGTTGTTATTTTATTAAGGAGAGATCTAGCATTCAGGAGCATAATTGTTAGTAAACCAGAGTTATTGGGGGAGAGGTTAACACGGTTACTTGTTACTATCCCTACGTTATGTTTGAAGGGGCTCTGAGGTGAGACAGAGTCAGTGTGTGTACTATTTCCTGGATAATAATAATAATAAGCTGTATGCTCTGTCACCTTCACAGCCAAGTAGTCAACCGGATTTTCAGCATTGTTTAAGTTGCCCAGGGAAATTTTGGTTGCCACAGTAAACTCTAACCTACAGTAACTTCGAGGCGACCTCTTCTTTGAGTAGTACAGAATAATGGACTGAATGAGCGACAACTCCTGTTCCTGTGACAGCCAGATGACAGCCTCGCCGCATCAGCGACTAAAAAGGTGGCGTTTCAAGAATGTTTTATTTTGTTGCTGTAAAATAGGATGCAGTTTTCTAGAGAGCAAATAGCCAGCAGAAAAATTGGTGTCAACCCATTCTAATGGAAATCACTAACACCTAAAAAGTGGACTGGTTCGAAAATTTTTTCTTCCTAGAGTGTAATCAGAAACCACCACATCAGAGTTTTCTGGACCATGTTACCCTGTTGTCAATCCATAAATTTACATCCATTACCAGAATTAATGATTCTAATAGAAACCAGGGTGTCATTCTGAGCAGGAGACGAAAATTTTGAGGTGAACCTGACTGCCAATGTAGTTCAAGATTGAACGATCAATTCATGGTCGTTTGCTCAAACCCAACTTCCCTATATTTTCGCGGAAGCATCAATACACCAGTCATCGTCTCGTCGGTCGCTGTTCAAAAAGAACGTAGAAAAACCGTCAGAAGTAATATTGTGATTTATTATTGTAATATTTGTTCATAGACCTTATTTTATTATGCTGCTCATATGTTGGTGTAACAATAAAGAATTCTCGAGCAGCCAATCGGTGTTCTGGTTTTCTCATCCGTTAGTACTAAGCGTTTCTGAAAGGCTTCGAGGGACAGCGAGAGGCCCGGCGTAGCAAGAGCTGGGCATTAACGGTTTTTGAGACGTGATTGACAGGGATATTCCGAAATTGCAGAAGAGCGCCACCTTTTCTGTCGTTAGAGGGTATCAAATTCTCTATTTGCGAAAGTGAACAGATATAAGAACCTCTGGGATACGTCTATATGGTCATGCTATAATTGGGGCTATCGGCGAATTCGGTGCAGGTTTTACCAATTATGTATGCAGAAATGTGTAGCGATTCTCTAGGCGGAACCGCTAAAAACAGCCTGGAATGCTGACCTATGAGTGAATATTAAGGACCAGTAGCCACTAAGGTCGAGGTACCAACTAACGTGAAATGAGTTAGAGCAGCGACCACGCAGTAGGTTTGTTTCACTTGATCGTTTGATCAGAAAACATTCAGGTAACATTCAGTAACTTTTAATACCGGGAGTAAACGCATAATTCCTCACAAACTGTTCCGTCACTCCACTGCATTCTGCAAGACCTACAGCGGACAGGATTTATATGAGTCATAGAATCGTTCCAAAACATCTGTAATCAAATTCTAAGCGATAAATAAGGTACCATGCGTTTGACAGGAAACCACTAGATATTGGATATTGAGCCTAGGCTATTGTGTAAACTTGACCTATGTGGTAATTTAACTGAAAGTATAAAGGCGGCTATATTATGTTTGAACGGTGTTTCTAGGTTGGGTCTTTAGCATGAACAGATTGGTCTTACAAATTGAAAGTGTTATGAGCAAATCAGAAAATTGATTCATTTAAAAAATATACTCTTTATCTTGATTGGTGTACTTCCTAGCACTTATTAATGCAAGTGAGTCCTAGTCTGATCATCGTTCCTCTATACGCATTGCTCTTTGTTTTTCAGACTATTGCTGAAAATTTAACTGGAGACTATTAGCTATTCAAAATGCCAAACACACGAATCGATGATTACTTCAGAGTCAATAAAACACCTCTTAGTGGCAGGAGAGCTAAAAGACTAGTCGTGGAAAGATCACCAGAAATAGAGGTAGGCCTAAATAAGTAAATATCAGTTAAGTTTCAGGTTGCTCCCAATGCTAAAAGACCAGCTCACAAACGCTTTGCACATCTTATTGAGCCCGTGGATGAACTGGGTCATAAAGATCAGGTTAAAGAAATACCGGATGATGATATCAAGCAGGAGATTCGATCTGTCAGCCAGCATGAAGCTCCTCTTGTTATTAGTAAGGTAAGTGTAAACAGCTATTATGTTTGAGTTACTGTTCGTCATTCGTGCAATATGGATATAGGTTGATTCAAGGGTATATTAGAGTAGTTGATTTTTCACCTGAAAGTTACATACACATTGCCATCATTACGAAGCATGGTTGTTGTTCCTTGGTCAGGCCCTTCTAGTTTTCAAGCAAAAGTTTTGTTTGTCTATTTCCGCGAGGTTCTTAATGAAATACGGCAGTGTTCGTGGAAGTATTTCTGAGAAGTAGGTAGATGGTAAAATATAGTAAACAAACCAACGTGTATATAAAAAAATGGGATTGGATTGGTCAAAAGCACCTTGTTGTTGACAGCTGTAGATTCCCGTTGATTGGTTTATTGATGACCAGTGTATGTCGTTGCGACCATAGAACTTTACATAATTGTGTAACACCCTTCATTCTACTCCGTTATTTGAGTGGTGTTGCTGGAATACCTGAGTATGTAGTGAGCTGAGAGATAGTATATCGTGTTAGTCATTACACTACTGGATCTCATGCAGTCGTATAAAAGCCTGCAGAAAATTTTCATCTGTAACTACAACTACTCCTAAGCCTATAGTCATCATTCTTATTTCATAAAAGGAGTACTAATGGGTGTAATACTAGTCGAATTCGACTTTTTACCTATTGAGGACTGTTAGAAACATAGATTGAAGTCATTCTAAACGACTCAGGTGTATTCACTTGCTACCACTCAGCTTCTGGATGTCTTCGCTAATCTGTATCTAGTGTTTCTTTTCGTAGTTCCATCACATTTCTTTTTATCAGTGTGCTTCTGAGAAGTGAAGCAAAGTCAAATGGTGCCTTCTTGCACAAATGTTTGCATTGATACGCCACCCACTCCTTTCTTCACGCTTGGAATTGGTCTCAGTAGTCAATTCTATTTACACGTTTTTATTCCGGATATCCCTTTCTTTTTACCTTCAGGTATTTAATGACCTTTATAATCTTTTCTTTTCCCCGTCGCAATTCTGTTTTTACTCGTTTGGCAGCTTGAATGAATACCCATCGATATGCCCCACTATTGATTGTTTAATTATGAATTAAATAAATAATGGTTCTTTGTATTAGTTTTCGATGAAGGTATTCACCGTACAATGATTTAATAGCGTTTCTGCATACGATGTCTTCATTGATTACTAATACGTATATTGATCATTTTGTCTCTTCATTAATCGGTGTTTTCTGTGACCAAATGCCATTTGTTATAAGAAATACGTGTGTGTATTCTGAGAAACTTTCTGCTTAAAGGCTTTCACGTTTTTTCTTTGTTATAGACCCCTGTGCAATGTAGACGGCGTGTACGACAAACAAAGGTGACAAAGTTGAAGTCTTCTGAAACTCCAATCGCAAAGGTGAAAAACGACTCAAAAGCACCAGCATTTGAACGATTCGCCTACCTGACAGAGCCTGTCTCTTCACGTTCTGAATCACAACCAGAAGAACCAAAGGCTGTCGCTGAGACGATTGAAACTGTTGCAGCTGCAGAAGATCTATGTTTAACGCAGACAGATTTGACAATTCCTGTTGGCCTTGTTCTTCCTCATAACTTACGAATATTGTTAGAACTTTTTCGCAGCTGCGATACTGTTGTCAGCATGTTGCATAATCGGAAAGAACTATGTAGTTTTGATAAGATTCAGCCAGCAGTTCAAGAAATAGTACGCAGGTAGATCAATTTTCTCCTGGTGGTGTGATTAACATTGTGCTCTCGAATTATTCAGTAATGCAGGTTTTGTTCTTCGATATTACTATTCTTTTTGCCTCATATCTCTGTTTACTGTCTTCCCTTGCTTTATGTGCTCCATGGAATCTGGTGACTCAAACTGCCGCACATCGGTGCAAAGTTCTATGTTGAAACAAGTTAGTCAGTCAGCAGGCTTTTTGTAAAGGGTTTTGAATCGTCATTTGGGACTTAATGTGTTGTTTTTGCAGTTTAAGTCCTAGTTTCCTAGAAACTTGCATTTCAGTGAATAAAAGATAACCTGGAGAAACGCATATCATTTTCAACTTAATTCACATTTGTTTGTAGTTTTTTTTATTATGTCGTCTATGTTTCCACCGAAATAAGAAACGCTTTTGTATGAAAAATACAGAAATTAGTGGTTCACTAACTGTGAAGTCATTTTTAGTACTGCTTGTTACTTTCAAATGTCAAATCTCGCTGTTCCTGTTTTTTACATTTTCAAGTGCTTGTTTGCAGGAATTCGATTGATTCCAAGATTGACCACAAATTGACTTCGTTTAGAGAAGCACTGAAAACCAGGGAGTCCTGTACAGCTGTTTCGCCCTTGTTTGGGACTCTTCAGTGGTACACACTGTGACCCCTCCAGGGATGCAGTTTCAGGACCTTTATGTTACGAGGCAAGGTTGTCAACCATTCAGTCAGTGGGATGGAATCCAGTGGAGCATTACTCCATTTTTGTTTATAAATCTACAATTTGTACTCTGTATATCAAACTCTGCTCAATGACCCTATTTAAATATTTAATGGCATGCATTATGTGCTTTAATCATACTTTTTATTTAATGCTAGTTTAGTAGACTTCGTCATTTTTAATTAGATCAACTGAGTTAACATTTTCACTGCAAAATATTTTCGCATCCGAAGTCAATTGTAGTGGTTCCTAGCTAAAAGTAGTTTAGTTTCCACTGTCATATTTATGTCTTTGTGACTTTGCATTATAAAATTATTGTTGGAATGAGCTCTGGGAAAAACATATCCCTTATGCCCATTTGTTATAGTTATCAGATATTAGAAATATTTCTCAGATAGAATGTAAGCTTTTTGGTTGGTAATAATCAGGAGTGTAATCCAGGATTCACATTCCTTCTTAATTGGAACTCGTCAACTGGATGTATATGTATTCCCAGTGAGTGATGGTTTTCACACTGAGCCTGAAAGCCTACACCACCCACTGGGAATGCAGGTACATCCTACTGACGAGTCCCTAATAGAACGAGATGCGCGTCTTAGATTCCACTGCGAGTCATCACCAATCAAAACAACCACGTTAATCGGCAGACGTCGAGGCGTCCGTACTAGGAGCCGACATATAAACAGATACCAGACATTTAGATCCAACATAGTTAACCAACGGAAAATGCAGAATTAACCTAAAAACAAAGAATGTAGTTTATTTAAAAAATAAACTTTCGGGTACAAGATGTGCTTTGCTTTGAATGGTTGGCTTGCATTAGTTTTGAAGCCTATAGAGATGCCCATTGTTCTTTACCTTTCTTATTTAGTGTAATGCAGTGACGTGTGGCGACTTGAACTGCCGCACATATGTGCAAAGTTCTATGTTGAAAATAGACAGACAGACAATGCAGTGATGTCACTCATTTGATTTTCCCACATTATTCATGACGAGGTATAGAAAGCTGTGTTAGCAGGGTCGTTAGTTCAAAGTAATGATTATTATTCAACTACATTTCCCTGTCATTGCTTTTGTTCCAGATGATTCTAATTTCACCTCGTTTCAATTTGTATTTAATATTTCCCCTAGTAATCTTCACAGTACGTAAATGTATATTTTGAAGTAATAGTATTTATTCACTACTTATCAATTCAAAAATATTCTATTCATTGTGTTTACTGCGTTTGGATAATGTTGTTAATCATCCATAGTATGGTTTAAAGTGTAGAACACATGGGTAAATGTAATTACTTCTCATAATTGTTCTCCTTTTTATGACTATCAACTTATCTAGGAATTTTCAGGAAGAAAATGTTGGCCAATTCCTAACTGTCTATCCAATGGTATATTTCCTTCGCTATGAGAAACAGTTAGACAAGTTTACACGTCGACCCACTGGAAATTATGTGCTTGTACTGTCTCCTAATTTGCGTGCCGGTTAGTGTTTAGAGCCTTTATTTTCTTTTTATAGAGGTTATTTTTATGTGCAGTGTTTTTCAATTGGTTAGTAGTTGGCCTAATTCTTGTATGTATTAGTAAGTCAAGTATTAGGATGTACAGTGAACGGCTAATATACAAGATGAGGGTTGTCTACCTCCATTCTACTTAAATTTATCGTTATTGTCGAATTATCTGATGTTATATAAACTAGAATCATCACCTCGTCGAGAATTATTAGTTGACATAGGATTGGGTTGGAAGAGAGAGTTAGGGGTGATCAAATCATAATCGGACATCAGTCCATGAAGTCTTTGACTGTTGGTTTCACTCACGTAGGGAGTGATTGTAACTCAAAGCCACCAACTGTTTTTTTCAAATCACTCATATCCATTAAGTCTTCATGTTTTTCGCGTTATTATTCATTCTTATGTTCATTATAATTCTTTTAAATATCTTCTCTGTACCTTTGTATGTCAAATGGAGTTTGGCCTTTCGAACTGTAGCACTTCTATGCACCCGTTCTACCTTGAAATTCAGTCAATATAGTGGATATAGTTTGCTGTGATATTCAGTTATTCATGATTATCTCAAATAATATTATAGCACTTAAGTATTTCCATTTATTTTCTGAATTGGAAAATACAACACATCAAATTCTTTATTATCCATTTTTGTTAACATAATAAATACATTTGTCATAAAGAGGATTCTTGCCTAGGATCTTTAAGTTATATAAAAGAGGTTTCTGGTAATAATGTGCAATGGAAATATCACACTCGTAAGAGAACGTGAAGTAACAGTATATGAAATCGAGTAATTCCTGGAGAAGGTGGCTATGCAGATGAGTATATCATATCGCATCGTGTAAAAAGAGTGATCGTTAGCCTACTCTTTCTTATCTGTAAGCAATGTAACAGTCATCAGATTGCTAATCAAGCTTACCCAAAAATGTTTTTATTCATCTCAGACGCATTGTTCATTGATGAGGAAAACGACTGATTATTCGTCTTTTTCATATTACCCAAACTGTGTTTACTGATTTCTGCATACATGTCAAAAGACGGACAAGTAAAAAGGGTTGAAGGATAGGTGATTGACTCATTTTATTGAGGACATTCCGCGAAACACATCACAATATTGAATGAAATAAAGCATTTCTGAACTGTGATATGTAATTAAGTCTGATCATGAGATTAACTGTGAAAATGTTGGTTTTATCTAGTTTTTATATGACTTTCATCCCTGGGACATCCTCGAATCATCATAACTTTCTAAATGTAGTCTGAAATATTGTACAATTTTTAAAAAAATTTTTCTAGATGGAACACAGGCAGGACATGATTCACCATCGAAAGGATTTCTACCATTTAGTGGGACACGATTAATTCAACGTCGAAATCGCTTTCATTCGTCGTTGATCAATCTAGTTTTCAAAGCGCATCGGGTAAGTTAATTTATATTCTGGTGTGAGGTGGTCATTTTCAGTAGTGCAGATTAGCTGTCTATAGTTTATAGTTAATTTAGATGGTTTTAATACGATGAAACTTGTGCTGACAGCTGATCACATTCAATTGGAAATGCTTACTGAATTTACCATTCAACAGTAGACCTCTTAGAAATTTTATAGTCAGATGGGAAAAGCTCTAGAATAGAACTTTGGTCATGTACGTCTGTTTTCGCTTTGGCTTCTAGTACCTACTTATGTTACATTTTTAAATATTACTGGGAAGCTTATTTTAAGAAATCTCTTATATCAGAGTTATTTGGATGGTTTTCATAATAATAATAATCATGAAAGGTTACATTGCTTGAGTCCTAAATCAAATCGATGCTCTGGATATCTCTGATTTTCAGAAGCGTCAAGTGTCTAACGGGAAGGAGGGTAAATTAACGAAACTTTGAAAATATTATATGGTCATTATAAAATCTAGGTCATCATAGTTTATGTTCAGTCCAGTACTAATGAGCTTCAGTAAGGTTATGTTCAATAGATTTGAGTGAATGAATATACGCTATCATCCTTATCACTTTGCAGATGTCTTATACTCTAAAGTCTTCTGCTTCTGTCCGTACTATCATGCATCCTACCTTCTTCGTATGTTGGGATCTGCAAGAACATTCGTCCCAGTCGATATATCTCGTTTGATCAGTGTCATATACATACTGGACCACTGCTACATAAAGGTACCAGCTGTCAACAGAAGAAAAAACGTACATTGCATCTGTGTTCATAAATCATTTCAATGTAAAAGTGACGTTAGGCAAGGTATCTTGGCGAAATATTTATGTTAACTGAGGTTTCATTGATGCAGTTAGTATATTTGTTTCGTTTGTGTCAACCGATGTTTTCTTTTGTGAGTGATTTCTTATATTAGCTCAGGTGTTTTATTCGCGAGGCCCAGATCTTTAAAGTTTGGTTGGAAAAATGTTTTATGTATCTGAAAATGGCAAATTTTATGTTGTATTATAGTTTGCATTTTGTTATATTCTTTTTCTGCTTACTAATTGGTATTTAATTTGATTGTTATTGTGTAAATAATATCGAGTTATTCATACTCTATCATTTTCAGGAATTCCTAATCTCAGAGCTTGGAGTTGATCCATCCCAACTACCAGAAGATTCGGCACTACGTCGATGGCATCCTAAATTCCCTTTAGAATCTGCAGTCACCTGTATTCCGTCTGCACCGTTACCAGTTCGACCATCCGAATCTCAACAGAAGATTACAACAGCTAAAGAAGCTGTCAAAGCATTCCAAGCACGTGCGTTGTTTCGTGAAGCTGACGCGTGCAATCAGATATCACTTAATAAACAGCAACAATTATCGCCTATTCCTAGTCCAAAAAAGTCTGCAGCGTCATCCCCAATGAAAACACTAAATGCTTCCGCTAACAATTCAGTGTCTACAGCAAGTATTCTTGCAGGAATAAAGGATAGTTCTGAAAATCCGAGTAAAGTACTTGTTCCTTCTAACTCAGCTTATCTAAAGGGAATATCTCAGGCTCTTATAAATAAGGTAATTAGGTGTTCTTCTAAAGTTATTTATTCGTCTTAAGATTTTAAAGTTTGCTTTTTGATGAGGTTTCGGTGGCATCTACAATATTTTGTGAGTGATGATAACTACTTTTCTTTAGGAAATCAAAGTAGTGATCTGGCCTAATCATATCTTATAATACTGCTGAATGTCAGAAGGTTTTTGTTTGCTAATTAATCATTTCTTGGTCACCTTCAACGATTAAATAAATATAAGCTCTTATTTTGGTTGGTGGAGACTAGTAGTGGAATCAAGGGCATGCGCTCCTCGTCATATTTGGAACTAGTTGGCTAGATGCACTTGCCTTCCCATTGGGACCCAAACCTCTAACCCATCGTTCCAAACGCCAAAGCGTTACCCACTATTTCACCGCTAGTCAATATCAGTCTAAGTGACATGATGTCAGTCTCCAGACATCCGTCAAAGCTTCCGCACTTATAGCCAACATGTTAACAAAGACCGAGCATTATGGAGCAACATGGTCAATCAACAGGAAATTCAGATAAACTGAAACAACTGTCGGAGCGATTTTTGTGAATTAAGGTTATTTGTATGGGTGACAGATAAATATCCTACAAATGTTTCCCAGGATTTCATTCACTTCAGCAGTCACTCATTTAATCGAATAATGTTGCATCTGAGTTTTTTTAACCACACTCTGCTACAATCATCATTGTAGATTAAAGTAGGCTGCATTTAGATATATATGATGTACCTTGTGTATTACTGATTAAATCTTGTGTTTTATTTGAAGGTTCGTGCTCGTGAAAATGAACGACGTCTCCTAACTGAACTCACTTACGGTAAAGTTCCAGAGGCACGTCGAGCTGTATACTGTCGCCTGCCTATGATAATAACTCAAGTTTGGAGTATTTTACGATCTTCCAATTCCCGACCTGTTCCGTTGTCGACTGTTGCTGTTCGTGTGGCTGATGCTCATCCTAGTGGACTTTCGGCAGGTAATGTTTGATTAATTTTGGCATCTAACAATTAGTAGTAGTGTAATGAGACCCATCTTTTTTATTTATTTTCAATTCAGTTTTGATTTCCCCGTTGATTTATTGGAGCGAAATGTCCAGTCTCTGTTGACATACCGGTTCCTTGTGTGGATGCTTCGTCGACTGGAAGAAAGACTGCCTCGTCAAACTGTCAAAGAAGAGTGACTTATGCCTGGGCAAGAACTGGCCTGGAACCATGCTCTTGTCCACACAAAGTAAAATATTAAGTCGCATCATCCTGGAGAGAGTGGGTGATGCACTGGATACAGAACTCCGCCAGACCGCCTGAACAGGCTGGATTCCGGAAAAGCAAATCATGTGCTGATCAAATTGCAGCTCTACGCATCCTCATCACAGAACAAAGCATAGAACGGCAGTCAAACCTGTCCCTACTTCAACTTCATTGACTTCGAAAGGGCCTTTGAAGTAATTTGGAGACTGCTTCATCATTATGGCGTGCAGTGCGCTAGTCTTTATCAACTTCATTCAACAGCTGGTAATATGGCAATGCCTCGTGTCAGGTGATGGACAAAGGGAAACTGAGCGAGGTGTTCGAAGTGAAGTATGACAGGGGTGTCTATTGTCACCTATGATACTCGTAATTTTGGTGGAGTGGATTGTGCGTCAGACTGTGCACTAAGAGCGAGGAGTCAGGAGTACGCTGCACCACTGATAAGAAGACTCTAGAAGATGTGGATTTCGCAGACGATAGGGGTGATGAAAACAACCAACGAAACGCCTCAACAACAACCAGCACCAATCACCATCAACGGAAGAATTTGAAAGAGGTTGCCTACTTCGGCTATCTAAGAAGCATCGTTTCAACTACAGGCAGACGGAACGGATGAAGATGTCAAAGCTAGCCAGAATCGGAAAGACAAGATACGCCTCCATCAACTTAAAACCAGTTTGGAAATCTGCTATCACTCAACTTGAAGAAGATTTAGTTTTTCAGAATCAATTTCATGGAGTCAGTTTTTCTATACGGGTCAGAAAATGGCTTGGCGTGTCACTGAAAGGATTTACAACAGGTTGCAGACTTTCATCAAAAGCTGCCCACTTCATTGGCTCCATACTGAAGATTAAACGGCCAGGCGGAATGAATTAGTAACAAGAAACTGTGGCTGAGAACAAACCAAGAACCAATCGCTCAACAAACATGTAGGTGAAAATGGAGATGGATCAGGCATACATTGAGGACGCCGTCGAAGGATATCGCGCACAATGCAGGCCATTGCTCGAGTGGAATCCAAATGGAAAACAATGAGTGGGTCATCAGTGCGAGGGTGACATGGAAGGAGATCGTGTGAGGAAGAGAGGAGAGAGTTTGGACAGTCGTGAGCGCAGCTGAAGAGGATGGCACAGAACAGAAGAAGGTAGAGATGTGTTGTTGAAGCCCTATGTCCCACTTGGAACCCAAGGTAGTAATAATAATAGTTCATCTTACTTGATGATATTAGATAGTTGTGGGCAATTGGGAGGAAGCCTTGGACCTAGACACATCATACCAGTTACTAGGGTCCAATGAAATTCACATAACTACTTACTCGTTTTCATGTCTAGTCCCAATGGCTGAATGGTCAACGGACCCCTCTCGTAACCTGTTCATTTCTTCGATCTCTGGACGGATCATGGGTGCATAAAGAGTATCAACTTAAGACGATACGGCCTTTCAGTACTCTTTGATTTTCGCTTCCCAAAAGGCAGGTAGACTTCTCTCGAAATGCTGTGACCATTCCTTCATGGTCTCATGTAGATAAACCTTATTCACTGCCTTCATGATGAGCGTCCACACAAAAGTGAATAGGGAGATGTGAAAGTTCTTCAACCATCGCTAGAATGATGAATTAGGGGAGCTGGACAACCCTGACAGCAAATCTATATTGCATGATCGAACTGCGTAATAACCTGGTTTAGGTCACTGTTAATCATAGGAACGCTGTTCCATTACGAACTCAGAGTTGTATAGTGGTAACTTAAGGCAACCAGCTGTTTCGTTTCGAATGGTACGTTCATATACTCAGCAACTTGCTCCCTCTTCATTTAATCTCCACACATGAAGAGTTTTGTTATGTTTCAATCATATTTTGGTATCTTCACTTTCGTCAGCTGCTCGTTAGTGTTCGAAAACTCAACCTGTCTGAACAGTTTCAATTTAGTTGCCTCCCATTGTGATATATAACACGGCTAGCGCGTTTTTCGAGCATTCTGAGAAATCTAACGTTCCCAGGATATAAGAAGTAATACTTTGACAGTTTTAACTGGAAAGGAGAGATTTTTAACATTTCTCCAGAATTGTTGCGTTTAGTAATCAAAATGTCTTTACTCCTAAACAGTATTTTTCATAGGATGTGGTAGCCTCAGGCACTAGTCAACATTTTCCTGGAACTGTTTCAGATATAATTGGTATTTCATAAAGACTGGTTTAAAGCTTACTTTTGAATTATTCTTTCCCCCCCTCTGATTTCTGTTGGTAGATGTTATCACTGAGCATTTAAATATCCTGTTAGAACTAGCACCATGTTGGATTGAGAAATTAAATTGGTCTACTCCCCATCTTCGGTTAAAAGATCCTGGAAGATCTGTGAAAGATGTAATTGATTTGATCAAGTCAAAAGTTGCCAAGGAAGGCGTGAACATTTAAAGTTTCTTTTTGTACTCAGTTTATGTATGTATACTTCTGCATTTATTTATTTCCACAGGATCTCATATTCCTATTATTTTACTTATTTTGGGCACAATGCATTTATGTATTACTTCTTTCGTGTATTATTTCCTGTGAATGCTACATATTTTTTATGATATAATGTGATTACAGAATTCTGATGTCTTTTGTGATTCTCGTGAAAGACAGTTTAATGGCAACTACCTGCAATTTGGAAATACTGTTTAGGTGTTCGTCCCAAACTAGGGTGAAACACTTATCCAGCAGTCCCAGGTTTTCCAATGGTCCTAAAACTGTTTTCAGTTCATGATGAAACCCTGTTTTCATTAGTTCCAAAGTAATGCTTACAATTCTGAATCACAACCAACCAGTTTGTGTTTTGTTTTTGGGTATTGGAACATAGCATGATTAAAGGTTAACTTAGTTGGGTTGACTAATATATACAGTCATCCAATTGTTGGATGAGTCCCATCATGTTTACTAATCAACACTTTTCTGACAAAAGAAACAGCAATCCATTACCGACAGTCAGTAGGGATGGGTTGGTTATCGTGATAGGGACTGAAATCAACTGTATTTCCAGAAGATAGATTACGTTTGCCAGCCGTCTTCACAACTATTCATATTTAAAACGAGGTGCTCAGCATGTCCCCACGTTGATTACGCAACGGACAGTTAACGAAAGATAAAACGACTTGGACAATAATAACATGCAATTAAAGATGAAGTAGTTAGGACAACAATAAAATAATTTAGACATTTGGAATTTTCAAAGGTTTAGGGAGAGGGGGGCGAAGTAGTCCGGGTTATATGTTCATATAACGATGGCCAAGGTAAGGAAAGTGGCTATACAAATTTCTTATGAACACACAGGGTTGGCTTCTTCAGATGGATTGCTATTGCTTCAGCTGTATGTAGAAGACAGACTCGTAAAGTAAAATTAAGACCAGTAGGAATGCGATAAATAATTTTAAACGCTGTATTATGATCAACTTTTTGCTGGCTATCTACAAGTTGGGCTAAAACAGAACTACAGATAAATCTTTTTTCTCCCTTGCTTAACCATGCTGGATAATGTTCGGAAATACGAAGATGAACCTGCCTAATTTTATGCCCAACATAGCTGGCTATGCAACTGCAGTCAAACTGGTAGATATACGTAGAGGAGGCAAATTTAATTACTTTATCCCGTACTTCTCGAACGTAGAATAGGGGTGATAGTGAAGAGATAACGTACCTCTTCTGCATTAAAAGCTCTTTTAGCTGCATTCTTCAGGTGCTGTGTTACTATTTCGCTAATGTTGTTACCGAGGAACTGCAATTTTATGAACAATGGCTTTTTCGGAGCTGTCGCCACACTGACTCTCCTAGGCGCTGAATTCATATTTTTCTCAATGAACTTATCTGGATACCCATTTTTTCTAAGTAATTTTCTAACAATTTTAAGCTCTTCATTGAGGCAGTCGTTTGAACAGATTAACCTAGCTCTATGGACCAGACACTTTACCAGGTTACGTTTGTATTTCACAGGTGTAAAACTCAAAAAGTGAGTGTACTGACCTGTTTCCTATATATTAGAGTAGAGCCAAGGATGAGGATCTAATTGAAAAGTAAATATTGCTTTGCTCAATCCTTTTGCTTTCTAAATTTCTATAGTTGTCAAATACGATGTCGTGTTACGCGTGGAACTAGTCGTTATCATCAGTGGTAATTAATTAAACTTGCAATATAAAATCATATCCTTGGAATTGTATGACGAAGCAGCACACTTATGTTCTTGATGTGATCGTGTGCTGTAAGTTGGGTGATTTAATTGTGAAACTTCCATTGTTCTTCTAGGTAAGATGTTCAGTGTGAAGTGAATTCTTTTGCATTCTGCGTATAGGATATAACAGTTTTCAGGGGTTTCACATTCTTAGTTTTTTCATTGATTGATACATTTGATCCATATCAATATGTGTGTTAGGGGAAAGTATGAATAATTACCAGACTTCTAAGAATTCCCTGGCACTTCTAAACATCGAAAATACTGCAGTTGTTAGCAAATATCCAGAAACCTGGTGTTCAGATCCATCTTCAATCAGCAGACATTGACACAGATCAGATTCATCGATCAATAAAGAACAAAGTCCCATGACAACAGAGGTGAAATTGCAGGTCAATGAAACGATCAAAACCAATACAAATTAACAACCAGTTACAGTCAATGTGGTTTAGGAGGACTTTGAAAGCTTCATAATTCAATCACACAGATCAGAGACTACAATCACGCATATAAAGGTAGCACAGTAAAATTGGAAAAACCACAGTAAAAAACATATTTGCCAAGAATAATATAAATATTATTCCCTTGGGTTCCGATTGGGACATAGGGCTTCAACAACACATCTCTACCTTCTTCTGTTCTGTGCCATCCTCTTCAGCTGCGCTCACGACTGTCCAAACTCTCTCCTCTCTTCCTCACACGATCTCCTTCCATGTCACCCTCGCACTGATGACCCACTCATTGTTTTCCATTTGGATTCCACTCGAGCAATGGCCTGCATTGTGCGCGATATCCTTCGACGGCGTCCTCAATGTATGCCTGATCCATCTCCATTTTCACCTACATGTTTGTTGAGCGATTGGTTCTTGGTTTGTTCTCAGCCACAGTTTCTTGTTACTAATTCATTCCGCCTGGCCGTTTAATCTTCAGTATGGAGCCAATGAAGTGGGCAGCTTTTGATGAAAGTCTGCAACCTGTTGTAAATCCTTTCAGTGACACGCCAAGCCATTTTCTGACCCGTATAGAAAAACTGACTCCATGAAATTGATTCTGAAAAACTAAATCTTCTTCAAGTTGAGTGATAGCAGATTTCCAAACTGGTTTTAAGTTGATGGAGGCGTATCTTGTCTTTCCGATTCTGGCTAGCTTTGACATCTTCATCCGTTCCGTCTGCCTGTAGTTGAAACGATGCTTCTTAGATAGCCGAAGTAGGCAACCTCTTTCAAATTCTTCCCGTTGATGGTGATTGGTGCTGGTTGTTGTTGAGGCGTTTCGTTGGTTATCTTCCCCACCTCCGTCTTCTTTTTGTTCACTTGGAGTCCTGACTTTTGCTCCCTGCCTTTTCAGCCTACCTGCAAGTCTTTGAGTTTGCGTGACACTAGACATCTATCATCTGCGAAAACCACAGCTTGTAGAGTTTTCTTATCGGTGGTCTGGCGTACTCCTGACTCCTCGGTCTTAATGCACAATTTAGTCTACCACAATAAAGAATATCATCGGTGATAATATACAGCCAACTTGTTCTGGTAGGACGGAGTTTTGCATCCAGGGCATTTTTCATTTTCTCCAGGATGATGTGACTTAGTACTTTACTTGGTGTGGGCAAGAGCATGATTCCACACCAGTTCTTGTAGAGATATAGGTCGCCTTTCTTTGGTAGCTTGACGAGGTAGCCTTTTCTCCAGTTGGTATGTACCTTTCATTCCTTCCAAACTTTTTGTTATAATAACGTGAGAACATCTGCGTAGTTTCTGGGTCCGTTTTTAATGTTTCGGGGGGAAATTGGAATCTGGTCCTGCTGCGTTACAGACACGTGTTCAGTATCTTCATTGCATTCAGAATTTCTGCTTTCGCCGGAGGATTGGTGTTCACTGGCAGGCAGTTCCGTGTGTGCTGTTGGCAGTGATATTTTCGGGCAAGTTGAGCAGGTGATGATCGATTTAAGAGTCCTTTGAAGTGATCAGCCCATTGTTTTAGTTGTTTCTCTAGCATTGTGATAGGTTCCTAGCCCCACGCCCGTCCCTCCCGTCGTTACCTGGGCTTGGGACCGACAAGAAAACTAGGAAGCTAGTTAACTACGCGATGTTGTATAATATGAAACGTCAAAAATATTCGAAATTCACAGGCTTAATTTAACTTATCTCACTTTTATATTCACTTAAACTCTGATTACACTAAACAATAATACAATGAGATCGACAGAAGGATGAGGCAGAAATCATTTTCAAGGGAATGTATAATGATTGAGTAGAAAAGAAAGACAAAATTACATTTTTAATCACAAAAAATGGTAATGATAAGATTCCGTAGAATGCAAGCAACGGTGACTAATCGAAATTAATAAAAGATAAGAACATCAATGATTTGATCACAAAGTTTTGACAACAATAAAGAAATTATGTAAAAACAATTTGCATACTTATGCATATTGTGTATGTATATATATCACCAAAACATTAGAAAGTACGAGAATATAAAAATAAAAAGTATAAATCACTAAACGCGCTGATATATAAAAATGAGCAAGAGAAGCCATTTTGAGGAGTTAGCTCCTGCAAGTTGACTGTTGATGAAGACAAACGGGGGTGGGGGGGAAAGGGGAACAGAAAGACTGAAATTTTTCATTGGTAGAAGAATGATAAGCAACAAGTACACTGTTATATTAACGGGGTGTACAAAAACAAAAGCAAAATTGAATTAAATTATGCATCAAGGAAGTGTGTATATAATGAATCAGGTTAAAGATACAATATATATCGTAGTTAACTAAAACTACTATTGCTATCTGAGTATTGAAAAGATTGTGCAGCTCGTTCTATTTGTTCAGCAATTTGATGATAGAAACGTGCTTGATCATTTAGGTAATCTTTAAGTTTTGTTATCCATTCTTCACGAATTTGTTTCATGATTAAATTGCATTCAGCTTGAACAGATCGTGTAATGATCAGTGCACCGGAGTGAATACGATTCACATCGGATTGAGACATTTTTTGTTCATCTGTAGCACTATAACGATGTAATTCATCGACTGTAGAACATGCAGCTTTTGCTAAACTAATAATATTTGATGTACTAGGTAATATCCGAGTAAATTCTTTAATGCAATCTTGTAGACTAGTTATTGATTCTGACTAACAAGAATAAATTTTCGAAGACAACAAACAAACAAATAAAATTATTTACAACAGTGTTATAATTCGCAAATAGACAAAAACGATAGAGAAGTATATTTTTCTCCTATTGTAGTGAATTGTCTGCAAGCTTGAATGATACCATTACACTCATGACATATAGTTCGTGACAAAGGTATACATGAATCACAAAATACCTTTGCGACTAAGTACATGAATTGAATACAAATAATAATTGGTAGTTATCAGCATGCATTTAAGTGTGGAGACTAAGGTGATCATCAGTAGCATAGCTTTATCCATCTGAGTTGGGTTAAACTGTTTTAAAAGTACATTACAGAATAATTTTGTAAGTTTTCCTAATTTCTCTTGCAATAACAAAAGCCTAATTCAAACCATGAAGTTAAATCACGTGGTAGAAGACTATTCAGTTTTCAGGTGTTTTTTTGTTTTGAACGGGTTTCGAAGTGAGGTTGCTGCCAAAACCAATTTCAGCTGAAGATTTGTTGAAAACCAACGGATGATAAGTACATACACTAACAATGATGTACAGTCTATGGTTTCACGAGGAACAGCATGATTTGTGAACATTCAGCGTGTCGAAGCCAGCATGCAACCATTCAGTCATGCAGTTAGGTATTTAATCAACCATGATCTTCAACTTTATTAGCTTGTGACTTACTGTAACTGGTATCCAGTATCATTGATGGTTGACTGGAATCACACGGAAATTTGTGAATATTCAGGAATTTGAAGTAACCATCTTCTTGGTCTTTACAGTTTGAAACGAGAGATAATTTTAACAGTATACTTATCATCACTGTTCGCTCTAAAATCGGTATGACGATTCTAATAACACGGAGTATGTTATACTTATAATACTGTAGTTATGTATTAGGTTTGCGATAGTTCACAGTAAACTAATGCTTTTCTCTAAGTACCTTTAAATGTTAGTACTGAGAACAGAGACCAAACGAAATCAGAAAAACTCTTTTAAGATTAACATCCTAGAGGTAACTTTCCCTCTTATGTATCATAAGAAATGAGCAACAATTAAGTGTAGAAGTCATGAACACTTCAGCGTGAAATGAATAACTGATAGAACTGGGGAAACAACTTAAATGACTGAAACTAATCCCAATCTATTGTTGAGATGACAACATCAAAGAGGCTTGGAGGTTTTTAATTTAAAGTGATAAGAAAGAAATACACTATAAAACCGATAACTCTAGGCTACCAAATGTAGTGGTTAGTTGTTTAGTAGTGTAAGAAGATGTACTAATAATCGAGTACATATAGTGAGGTCACTAGTTGTTTGAACTCAAATACTCAGAACAGACCTCTTCCTATACCAAACTACAGGCCAAGCTTAATGAATTAGGGCTGAGATGATACTAAGTAGTTGTGCAGATTGAAGTAGGTGGAGAGCAGTTCGAATCCACCGAGTCAAGCACTCAATTTTCAGCCGATGGGTCCTGGGATTGAACCATTACTAAGGCATTTCAACCTGGGGCAACTGGATAGCATATAAAGTACAAATTTAAGAAAAATAAACTTTCAGGATTTTATCATGAGCTGGCACATAGGGTTAGAGAACCATTCAAAAACCTGAGAGTATTAGACAGCTGTCCCATCCTAGTTTAGGATTCTTCAGTAGTACGAGCCCACCCCACTGGGATTCAAACCCAGGATCTTCCGGTTACAAGGCGTGATCGTAGACCATTAGGCCACTGAGACCCAATGCAATGGCCCATGAGAGAAGTTTGAACTCATGCGAAGCACACCTTGTAACTGAAAGATCCTGGGTTTGAACTCCAGTGGGGTTGGTGCGTACTGCTGAAGAGTTTTAAACTAGGATGGAACAGCTGTCCAGTACACTCAGGTTTTTGAATAGTTCTGTAACCCGATGTCAACTTACGATGGAATCCTCAAAACCAATGAATTGCTTGGAAATCAACACTTGAAAAATAAGCTTGTTTAAATACCTGTAACGCATGTATAGATGAAATTGTTTTAAAAGTATCGCTGGTTGCAGACAATGAATGCGACAAATTCGTATTTAAATGTCCTGAAAAACAGGCAGATAATAATAATAAAGTGAATGAATTAGTATATCTCACACATATTATAGATTTATCTGATAGTTGAAAAATGTAAACGAAAATATCTATTCATCAATAATGTATCTGGTGTTATGAACATCCTACGGTAATACAGACATAGAATATAAAATCTTACGCATAATTAGCAGATGAACATTAATTAAAGGGCATTCATAAGATGTGACAAATGAGAATGGGTAAGTGTCAATTATGCAGTTTACACGATACTCATCAATGTTTGAATATATATACATGGTATGAAGTGGAGATCCTTTGAATTTCCATGAGTTTAAAACCAAATTGTCCAGTCCACATAACTGCATGAAAATTTACCTCAAACTACATTTCGCCTACAATACAACAGACGATTCAAGTACACTAATAGTATCTCAATTATACCGCTTACCTCAGTTAGACAGATACGTGTCACAGTTATGCATACAAAGATTGCAACTATCATAAACTTTTTTTTTAATGGTACCGATAAGTGAGGGAAATTCGTGAATTTGGAGCGAGAATCCTTTACTACTACAAAGACTGTGAATATCTGTTAAATATTGTGCACATTGCATGGAGGATTTCATCATTAGCTGACATCATTTAGAGAACCGCTGGAAAACCTGGGAGTACTGGACAGCTGTTTCGTCTCAGTTTGGGACTCTTCATCAGTGCGCAACCACCTTCAGGGTTCAAACCCAGGACTTTCTGGTCACATGGCGAGCTCGTAGACCATCAAGCTACTGGGAATCGATCCAATGGTCTTTGAATTCTAACTTCTGACAATTCACGGCATAGCGCGACCATTTCACAATGTCTTCTGCCTCATCTTCAACCTGCTGTACCCTACCGGACACGGCTTCCCACTAGAAACCCAGGTTAACTGCCTGAATAGGGCCAGTCACTAGTGAGCACCATTTTGGTTAAGGTAGACGCTCCTTTCAATTCCTATCAATACTCTACATGTCAGCTGATACACAAAGATTTCATCGATGGGAGATACATAGAAAGATTAACTCAAATTGATTGATCTCAAACTGTCATTTTACCTCACAATTGTTTATATAATGTCATCACTGGATGAAAGCAGTTTTATTTGTAATAAGGATGATTGAAATAACAGAGTTGTCTTGAATGAAACATATACTGTGAGATAGGACAGTGCTAGATATCACATCGAAGGTTAACTTTTTGGTAGCAATTATTTAACAACTCAAAGCGATACAGAGACATTTACATATATTTATTTTATTTGATTATAGCTTGATTCCACACCGTATTTTTGGTACAAGTATGGAATTTTCAGCATGTGATATCGGTAGCCCAAATTTTGCAGGCCGACCATTGATATCAGGTGTGCGTCGGCAGGGAATTGAACTTCGGACCATGTGAATGGTCGGCGAGAGTCCTAACCGCTATGCCACCGACGCACAAGAAAAGACTAAGATACTGCTTGAATGACAGAACTAATGATCAACAGAGAAAAAGGAGTAGAGTGTTAAGCATGCGTGAAAAAAGAAACATGGCTGTATACAAATGAGCTGAAATGACTTCTGATTGAATACTCAAAAGTAATTAACTTTTTACTTACTTGTATGTACATCAGAGTCAACCGCTTTACTCATGTTGTGAAATGCTGTTGAAAGGGATGAGAATTCTTTACGAACAGCTAAAACAAAAAGTTATGTCCAAAAGTATTACAACTGTGAAAAGGAGATTTAAAATAACTTTTGATTAAACGGGAAACATCCTTTATCATTAGTGAAGAAAGCATCAGTTAGTAAGCTTTGTAAAATTAGTTAATCTATCATATTTTAAAGAGACCTTAAGAAAAACGATATTTGGTGCCTGATTTATGGTTAACTCAGAATTTCAGGTTCATTTGCGAAGAAAATAGATTGATGCGTCTCATTACTCACGTATCCATCTCTTCCAGTAATCTGTATAGATATGAGTTAAACCTACTGAGATGGCTAATAATACTATTTAGTTATTCAAAATTCAATAGGATTCGAGCTGACACAACATAAATTGAACGTCACGTTTTCACAGCAAGAAACTACGGATACAATATAGGCTGCGTAAAGAACATACATCGGTTGGAAACTACATGGATGTCGGACAACTGTCTCGTTTAACTTTGAGGCTTTCCAGTAGTACACACTTGTGACCCCCACCAGAAATCAAACCCAAGACATTCAGATCATGAGATGAACACACTGTCACTTAGTACCGAAGTTGAGATCGAATGTCCCATGAATTCCAACTTCCCCTCTGACACATATCTTAGAAGAAGGGTGAAACTGGTAAGGAAACAAAACGTTAGGTGGAAATAGGTATACATTGTACTAATTAAGACACTCTACTCGGACTCATTCAGCCAGGTGAGGGCTTACGGCGAGTTGTCATCTGAACTGGCGACGACTAGTGGTGTCCGTCAGGGATGCCCATTATCCCCATTTCTATTCAACTTCATCATAGATGTACTAATGGACTTAACCCAAAGTGACTTCAGCAACTCAGGGATTGACTTGCTACCAGGGAATAATCTCGTTGACTTGGAATATGCAGACGATATAGTCCTTCTAGGCGAAGACGCTGACGAAATGCAGAGTCTTCTAAACACCTTGAGCCGCAATCTACGAATGTTTGGCATGCGATTCGCTCCCGCCAAATGCAAGATGATGTTACAGGACCGGACTACAGCGACGCCTAGTTTAAAAATAGGAAGTGAAGTGGTAGAACACGTTGACCGCTTCACTTATTTGGGAAGTACCATCAGCCTCAACGGGTTGATCTTTGACGAAGTCTCAGCACGGATACAGGGGGCTCGTTCCGCATTTGCCAGTTTACGCCGACTCTGGCGTAGAGGAGATATCCGACTATCGACCAAAGGGCGGGTGTACTGCCCATCAGTCCGCTCCGTCCTCTTCTATGGCTGTGAGCGAGACATGGCCATTGAGAGTGTAAGCGCTGAAAAGACTGGCTAGCTGTATTTGATCATAGGTGCCTGAGTTCTATCTCCCGTGTGAAGTGGTATAATAAGGTGAGCAATATTGAGGTTAGGCGTCGAGTTCTACGTAAGCAGGAGAAATCAATCGACGAAGTTGTGAAGTTACATCGACTGAGATGGTTAGGATATGTGTTACGTATGCCTCGTCATCTCCTACCTCGACGGGCAATGTTAGCAGACATGGGGTCAGGCTGGAAAAGAGCTAACGGCGGTCAAACCAAAACATAGAGCTAGTCAATGAAATCTACAACAGTTAGTCTCAGCCACGTAGGAAGGTGTAGGCTTCCTGACTGGTTGGGTTCCTCGGGACGGTAAAAACCAATGGCTGGAGACAACCGGTGATATGGTTCAAAATCGTTCTCAATGACTGGCACAGATGCATCCACTCCTTGTGACATATAATACCCAGTAAAACTATATTGCTCTTCGTTATTATTATTCTTTTTGTCTCATATCTCTGTTATGCATTTCTTCTACTTTCTTCTGTTGCTTTGTGTGCTACATGGAGTATGGCGACTTGAACTGTCGCACATCGGTGCAAAGTTCCATGTCGAAAACAGATAGACAGGTATATTAGACCACACGAGATAAATAAAGTGACTGAAAACGCTTATTTTCAATAAGGTTGACCTTGAAAACAAAGTTCGGACAACAAGACTTGTGTGATGCTGTGGTGAGAGCAGGCTGCTAGCCAGTTGGTCGACATTCATCTACGTCAATGTCTAGGTCACTAATATTGGCCGTGAGAAAATATGAACAAGGCTGATTCAACAACCAACCACAGCAGACTTAAGCGTGGGCAAATATGATTCGCAGATAGATGACTCCACTTTACGAGGAACTCGAAAACAACCAATCAGAAGACTGTGTTTGTCTACTTGAATAAGCTCTCATAATGTACATAAAATATATATAAATAAGTGCTGATTTCCATAATAAAATGATCTGTTGCCAGCCCTCATCTTTTGTTGTTACATTTGGTATCTCTGCCTCCAAAAAATGAAGATCCCGTGGCCAGCTGCGTTTGAAGAAGGAGACATACGGAGCTTCTTACGTGACTTCGAGGCCGTTGCTGAGCTGGTGGGTGTCAAGGAGCAGGCAGCGAAGGCAGTTGTCCTGGGGACGCTGTTGAGAGGCCGAGCGAAGGCTGCATATGACAGCGTAGACAGGTCAAATGGCACAGCGTCTTGGAAGAAATTGGTTGAACGACTAGTGTCCGAGTTTGACAGCGAAACAGACAGACAGCTAGCAATGCAGCAGTTCCGGTCAATGAAGCTTGGACCTGATGGAGACCCGCTAGTGTTGGCGGTGAAACTGACTAATCTACTTCGACGCGCGCTTCCCACTTTAGATGAAGAATCAGAAGCGCAGTTACTGTCTTCCCAATTCATCGAGAGTGTCCCAGACCACATTTCTCAGCGATTACAACTGGTTAACGCAACGCAGCCGATGGATATTAGTGAGCTGGCGAAGGTGACCAGACAGCTGCTGAGCACAACGGTAGCCGCTATAGACCAACCAAAACCAAACGAATATGAGCAGAAAATTGAAGCATTGCAGCGGGAAGTGGCGGCGTTAAAGTTGGCTGATAGAAAAGACCGGTGTTTTGAATGCGGTAAGCCGGGACACTGGAGAAGATACTGCCCAGAAAGGCGAAAAAGAAAAAATTTCAGACGGTATAATGCTTGTTCTTTCTTTCGTATGAACCTAGATTTAGTGGGGGCTATTGAGAAAGGGCTCTGTATTCGAAGTTGCGAGTGAATGATCGAGAAGTAGTATGTTTGATAGATACAGGGGCGGCCGTGTCGTTAATAGATAAGAATTTATGTAAGAGTGTTAGTCCGTGTTCATTGACAGTACAAACAGTAGGCGGGTATGTGTTGCGTATCACGGGTAGATCGAACTGTACGGTCGTTGTTGGTGGCTGCGAGGTGACGTTTCCTTTCATTGTTGTACCCGAACTACAGCGAACGATATTAGGAGCGGATTTTCTGCGTGAGATTGGTGCAATAATCGACACGCAAGCGAACGTGGTGGTCACGAAATACGGGCATATCAACATGTATGAGACCAGCGAGATAGCAGCGATTAAGCTGTCGACGGTACACAATGTGACAGAGTTAATTAATAAATACGATCATCTGTTCACTGGAGATGGCGACCCATACGGTTATTGCGATAAGGTGAATCATGAAATTCCGTTAAGTGATCCGAAAGTAAGGTCATTTACAACGCGAAGAGTTCCATGTCATCTGGAAGGCGAAGTGGAGCGACAAGTGCAAGAGATGTTAAAAGATGATATTATTGAGGAAGCTGATAGCCCGTACAACTCTCCAGTGCTGTTAGTAAAAAAAGCGAATGGGAAGTATAGATTCTGTGTTGATTTTCGACAGTTAAACAGTATGACAGAGTTAAGACCGTGTGCCATGCCAACAGTGGTAGAAACTTTAGATCGCCTACAAGGTGCGAATGTGTTTTCGGTTCTCGATCTTCGCTCAGGATACTGGCAGATACCGATAAAACAAGGTGATAGAGATAAGACGGCTTTCATCGTGGGTCAGACACAATATCGATTTAAACGCATGCCGTTTGGACTAGCAGGTGCACCGTTTACGTTCAGACGACTGATGAAGCTATTACTTAGGAACTTGAAAAACGTGGAGGTTTATGGTGATGATCTCGTCATATACAGTCAAAACGAAAACGATCACGTCAACCATGTAGAAGCCGTGCTGCGACGCATCGAAGAGTTTGGACTACGCGTCAACAAAACCAAGTCCAGATAGCCAAAAAGAATGTTACTCTGTTGGGACATAAAGTGGGAAATGGTGAGATTAAACCACTGCCGGAGAAAATTTTGACGATTAAAACGATTCCAGCCCCGAATTCAAAGAGAAAACTGAGACAATTCTTGGGTAGAGCAGCGTTTTATAGTCGCTTCGTGAAGAACTTCAATGAGATAGCAGCCCCTCTATACAGGCTACTAGGTGAGCCAAAGTTTGTTTGGTCGGAAGAATCGCAGAGGACATTCGACAGAATTAAACAGCTGCTCGACCACCAACAAATGACGCTAAAACTACCTGTGCCAGGAAGACAGTTCACAGTGTGCACAGATGCCAGTGACTACGCTATAGGTGCGGTCCTAAGACAGGACGAGGGAATCGTTGAGTATGCCAGTAGGGTTTTGACACTCACAGAGAGAAAGTATTCAACGATAGAGAAAGAATGTTTAGCAATGGTATGGGCAGTCGACAAATGGAGACCTTATTTACTCGGCCGGCGGTTCCACATCGAAACTGATCATAAGCCGCTACAATTTTTGAAGACAGCGAGAGACCCACGGGGGAAGTTGTCACGGTGGATGTTGCGTCTTCAGGAGTACGATTTTACGATCTCACACGTTCCTGGAAGTGAAAATGTCTTGGCAGATTTGTTATCGAGACCAGAAGATGAGTCTGAGTTGCCCGAGGTCGCTTACGGAGTGCATGCAGTAGAACAAGACCCACTAAGACTTGCACGTAGGCAGAGGTTGGACGATACGCTGAATACAGTAATACAGGTGATCACCAACGGAATAGAAGTGGATCAAACTACGGCGAGTAAGGAGCTAACCACACTACTCAGAGCCTACGGGACTCTGACCTGGCGAGAGAACGACGGAAGCTGGCTGGCTGTCATACCTCAATCGTCGCGCCACGACATGATAGAAGAATGTCACCAGCTAGCGCATACAGGCGTGGCCAGAACGACCGACCTCCTAAGACAAAGTATGTACTGGCCAGGTATGAGAGAAGACGTAGCAAGATACGTACTTGGATGTCCACGGTGCCAGCTGATGAAAGGTGACCGGTGTATACGACCACCACTTCAGTCGATTCCAGTTACCGCGATAGGTGACTTGTGGTCCGTAGATGTCATGGGTCCATTTCCTCAGACATCCAATGGTAATCAGTACCTCTTGGTGATGACGGAACACGCGACACGATGGGTAGACGCCGTAGCAATCCCAGACCAACGTGCAAGAACCGTGACAGATGCAGTAGTTAGACACATTGTTGCAGACCACGGCGTACCGAAGACAATACTGACAGACCAAGGTCCCTGTTTCGAGAGTGAAGAGTTTACTTCCCGTTTGCAACAGCTGGGCATCAAGAGGATCAGAACGACCCCATACCATCCACAAACGAATGGCCTAACGGAGAGAAACAACCGTACACTGAAGGAGTGGCTGGCCTCGAAGGGCGGGAACTGGGAAACGGAGCTTCCACTGATTTTACTAACACATCGGCTACCACTCAGGAAACAACGAAGAAGTCACCCTTCCAACTGATGTATGGTAGAAAACCACGATTACCGGTACACAATGAGACCTGGCCCCTGAACCAAAAGTGGAGTACGACGAAATTAAAAGCAGAGAGGAAAGAGGCAGTCAAGAATGTAATACAGAAGCAGCGCAGTGATGTCGCGAAGTCTCAGATGAAAGAAAGGACGCAGTGCATTACCTTTGCAGTCGGGGACCAAGTGAAGTGTAGAGACAAAAGATATACAGTTGGAGGCGGGCTAGGTTCACGGAAACTCCTTCCAAAGTGGGAAGGACCATACACAATCACAAAAAGACGGGGTCAAGTATATACCATCCGAAGAGGTGATAAACAGAAACGAGTTAACGCCAGTCAGCTCCAAAGATGGGTACAGTGGGACAAGCCGGTCAGTAACAATCCTCAACTAGAGGATGTAGCACCCAGAAGGTCGGAACGTCTGCGCACGAAGCTATTTGACGGGGGGACGAGTGTGGTGAGAGCAGGCTGCTAGCCGATTGGTCGACACTAATCTACGTTAATGTCTAGGTCACTAATATTGGCCGTGAGAAAATATGAACAAGGCTGATTCAACAACCAATCACAGCAGACTTAAGCGTGGGCAAATATGATTCGCAGATAGATGACTCCACTTTACGAGGAACTCGAAAACAACCAATCAGAAGACTGTGTTTGTCTACTTGAATAAGCTCTCATAATGTACATAAAATATATATAAATACGTCTTCTGTCGTTACAATACTATGTATAATGCAGAACCTTAGAACATTCCATTTTCAAAGATAAGTGAAAAGTATAGTGTACAACAGAATTTGAATTGTCTCCTAATTAGAAGGCAAGTCATCACATAGACTAAGAAAATGGTACCTCCACATTCTACAGACAATTTCTTCAAAACACAGTAATTCAGCCTATTTAAAAATATAAGGTTGTCAGGTGATTCTAATATATGACGTCCATCTCATATTGATGTAACATAAAAGCCAAGCTGAATGAGAGTTAGGGACCTTCAATTTAGTGGATAGTAATCGGAGTCACTATTCCCCATAATCGAAGACATACCAATTTGAACGAAATATTCCCATATTGAGTCACAAGAAAAAGATGTAAACATTGAAGGAAATTTTCTTTTCGACGATTCATTTTCATAACCTGTGCAATCGTAATTGTATTTAACAAAGAAAACATAAGACCAACCCTACCATAGGGCGAGTGAATGTATGTACCATGTCCACAGTAAAGTTCTTACTATAATTTTGCTTCTTTTTATTATGTAAGTTTACTATTATTATTGTTACTACTATTTCATTATCATTATTATTCCCATCACTCATATTTTATGATCACTTTATTACTGTTCATTAATAGTATTGAGTTTTCGTACAGAAGTCCGTGAAGTAATTTGGAAACTACTCGAAAACTATGGCGTACCCCAAATATTCATCAACCTTATTCAACAGCTGTATGCCAAGTCATCCACAACGGAAAACTCAGCGAGGTGTTTGGAATAAACACAGGAGTCAGACAAGGGTGCTTATTATCACCAATGATATTCCTAATTGTCGTGGACTGGATTATGCGTCAGACAGTGAGTGGGAAACGAGAAGACAGGGATATCCTGGACCGACGTGATGAACCTAGAAGACCTGGATTTCGCGCGTGGATGATTTATGCTTGATGTCACACAAAAACCGAAGACTTACAAGCGAAAACCGACAAACTGGTGGAAGAAGCAACCGGCGAAGACAGGACTCCATATGAACATAGACAAGACGGAGGTTATGAAAATAACCAACCAACAACAAAAACAACAACAACAACAGCAACATCCAGCGCCAATCACCATCAACGGGAGGGATTTGAAAGAGGTTACTTCATTCACTTATCTAGGGTGCATTGTCTCAACTACAGGCAGTCACAATGGAAGAGGATGTCAAATCGAGCGAGAATCGGGAAGGCGAGAAACACATTCATCAACCTGAAACCAATCTGGAAATCTTCGTCATTCAGCATCAACAACAAAATTCGGTCGGATTTTCAATACAAACAACGTCAAGTCAGTCAGTTCTTCTACGCGGATCAGAAACTTGGCGGACGGGTGACAAAGATTATTTCCAACAGCCTGTTGCAGACCTTTATCAACAACTGTCTTCGCTCTATACTGAAGATCAGATGGCCGGGTCGGGAAGAATCACCAGCAAGAAACTCTGGCTGACATGGAGGAGATCGTGTGAAGAGGAGTTGAAAGAATATGGATTAACATGGATGCAGGCGAAAAGTATAGCAGAAGACAGAAGCAAATGGAGACGTGCAGTTGAAGCCCTATGTTCCACTAGGAACCCAAGGGAACAATAATAATAATTATTATTATAGAAAAACATTTTATCACCTTTCAATTATTTCTTGTCCATTCTACACAATCATACTGATAAGTCATTTTCTCACACTTATTATACGTCAGCCCAACTTCTACCCTCTTTTCTAACTTCCAATTAGTCAATCCATCTAGGTTACACCTTACATTACGAGCTACGTTTTTCAAGGACAAATTTTACCAGTATCTGATTGGTCTTATGATTTCTTTGTTAAATGTAATTACGATTGTACAGTTTATGAAAATGAATGGTCGAAAAGAAATTTTTCTTCGCTGTTTACCCCTTTCTCTTATGACATACCAATCAATAAACACTAAACTTTAAACAGAGGTGTAGTTTCAAGTCGCCAGACTCCATTTACCACACAGGCGTAGAGAAAAGAGAGAAAAATTAATTGGAACTATTTGCAATTAATGGTGTTCTCTGAGCTGGTTGGTTTAGTTGCGGAGCTTTCTTCATCCATCTGGACAACATCTTCAACGCAGTGTTTAGCATAAAGTGAAATGATTTAAATTTCTTCATGAGTGATATAATTGCGTCTCCCGGTAACCATCTTTACATATGTATTGACCATTTTCTATTGACTTGGATTTTAAGCTTTCTGGTCACCTGATTTACTTTTTATTAGTTGGTATATTTCGTCTATATTAACGTGTTTGTTAATTGCATTTTCGTTTGAGTACCAGGCTTCTAGGAATTCCCTGGCACTTTTGGTGTTTCCTCTGTCTAAGATTTTGACATTATCCCAATCAAAGTGATGTCCATAATTGTCTATATGCATTGATACTAAAGAATGTATATCGTGTCTTTTCACGGCTAATTTGTGTTCTTGGATTCTAATTCGAAGGGGACGCCCACTTTGGCGTCAATACATATGTAAAGACGGTTACCAGGAGACGCAATTATATCAATCATGAAAAAATTTAAATCATTTCACTTTATGCTAAATACTGCGCTGAAGATGTCCAGAATGGGATCGACGAGAGCTCCGCAGCTAAACCAACCAGCTCAGAGAACACTATTAATTGCAAATCATCCACCTGAGCTACAAATCTTCTCTATTATTTTAATTGGAACTATGATGAGCAGAAATGTAAGGGTGAAAGAATAGTGAATTGAAGAACATGAAAATTTAATCGATATGGGAAATCACACAATGTGAATGGATCTGTGCTACTGAGAATAGTTTTCAGTCATATCAACAATAGTCTCAAGTCAATTTGGCTCTTAGAATCTCGAGGACGCCAATGATTAGCTCCAACCAACTGTCAGAGATTTCATTGGAATGATTCCAGATTTTCGTTTGACCACACCAAACTCTTCCGCAACTAAACCGTATGTGCACAAACATTTCACGCCGAGGGAGGCAGTGGATCGGAATGTACAACACGTGTCTTAGACATCTCAATCAATGTAGTTTAACAAGTTCATCGATCACTTCTCTTTCTTGCCTAACCTCAATATTGCTCATCATATTATATCACGATAGACAGAACGGAAATATCTGTGGTGAAGGAAAAATAGCACCAGTAATAATATCCACATTCTGGAAAAAAAGGACAGAAAATCCTTTTACTGGGCTTATGCTATTGATTCAATTATTATTACAAGTTTAAAGAAAGTATTACAGATAATGCACGAAATAGAGACAGTGATAATGAATAAATAAATAATCATATTTAATACAAATGCCGAACTTACTATTACTTAATTTTTGATGATATTCACTAATTGATTCACTTAGTGCTTTAGTTGACCTGTCTAAATTGGATAAAAATCGTTCAGCTGCTTCGACTTTTTCCATACTGAAAAATACACAACACAACATACAAAAGATACAGAGGAGAATATAGATATAAGTTAGTTGAATAAGTGAACATCCTCCCTATTATAATGTGAATATGAAATAGAAATAATTTTGGTTTCACAACACTGAAATGTAGATGCAAGATATTTTTTTCTATTCAGCATTATGATAAGCACAATAATGAACAGATATAACGGAGTAAAAAGGAATGGGTATACAACATTTGCAATAAACTATTACAGAAAACAACAATAAATAACTTAATGAATAGTAACGAAGGATAACATGAAGCAAAATACATAATTTTATTTTTTTTATATTTTTGATTACAGATTGATTCCACACTGTATTTTTGGTACAAGTATGGAATTTTCAGCGTGGATATCGGTAGCCCAAATTTTGCAGGCCGACCATAGATATCAGGTGTGCGTCGGCGAGGGCTCGAACCCCGGACCATGTGCATGGTCGGCGAGAATCCTAACCACTGTGCCACCGACGCACGAAATGAAAAATTAGTCCAACTTATTACATGACATTCAAGTATTGGTTTGTAGGGATTTGGTTGATTGGTTACAGGATTTCATCATGAGCTGACATTAGTTAGAGAACCATTGGAAAACCTGGGAGCACTGGACAGCTATTTCGTCCTAGTTTGGGACTCTTCAGTAATACGCACCCACCCATTGACTTGTGTGTATCACATTTTCAATTGATTTGTGAGGATGAACCTGTCCCACTTATTGAGATTCAAAATAACTAAGCAGCAGTATTAACACTTTAACGAACAGGACATAACATTCATGTTTTGCACGTCTTTTAAACGTATCTATTAAACATGTTTGAGGAGTATCCTAAAGTTTGTAGGAAGCTTGAACCACCTTTATGTGTTCAAAAACAATTCGTCATCACACTAAACCTTCATTGGTAAACTTTGTTTTGATACTAGCCAGGGTAGATGTACTATTACCTCTATTATTTGGTTTCGTAATCTTCACTGTTGTTTTGACCTTCAGTGTATCCTTTCAACTTGACCTAAGTATTTAATTCAATTTTAGATTTTCTCGTCGGTTGATTGGACCGAAGTGCTCGATCTCAGGTTGACATGCCGGCTTCTTGTGCAGATGCTTCCACGATGTCTGGGCATGTAATTAGAAGTTACTTGCTGGATGGTGACTAGCAGTCGAGAATCCAGAACGCACATTTCCTCCTATCCCGTACTCGTCGTGTGGATGTTATTGCATTTCCCATTGAGTGATGATGTTCCCACCGGCTTCAAGATACATGAACAGACATCGTCGAAGCAGCTGTACAAGAAGTCGGCATGTCAACCTGAGACCGAGCACTTCGGTCCAATCAATCGATGGGAAAATCTAAAATTGAAATAAATAACTAATATAACCTATTGCACAAGAGGTGGCTCTCGTGGCCCAGTGGATAACGCCTTGGTGTTTGAAATCATGAACACTGGGTTCGAGCATCGTCTTTCACTGTGGAATGCAGGGACATCCACACGACGAGTCCAAAGGAGGACGAAATGCGCATCCTGAATTCCACTGCTAGTCACCATCCACCTTTTAACTCTATTATATATATATGTATATATATTCCTATGATAAGTCCATGTGTGATCAGATTGTTCGAAATGTGTTGCGCAGACACGTTAAACGATTCAAAGTAATTACGTCTTCCTATTGCGTTGTCTAGATTCATAAAGGGAACTAATTGTTTTAAACTTTAATAAATATACCTCTCCACTCACTACATGAACAGGTGTATAACTTTTGAGTTATGTTACTCATCATATATACATATATATACCCAGTATGGGGTGATTGGTTCTAACACCGATCTATCTATAGAGGTCTGGTACATCCACTAAGTAATACTGCCTTTCATATAATATACCCGACCAACTCTATGATATATAAATCTTGTTCAATTGACAAGTTAATTTTTGAGCGAACAATTTTTATCGATAAATTCTTCCTCAGGCTCTACAGTTATAAATCCATGAATATTATAATACAAATAGCCTTTAATCTATTATCAATCTTATTATGTGTCAACCTTTTGTAATTTACACTAAGCTAATTATGTCTCTAGTATTTTATTACAGTTCACAACTTAACCTCTTTATTTTATCACTACACTTGGTATCTGCCAGCCCTTGCTTGAAGTTCCATTCAGTGTTTCCATATTTTAGTGTTTGTCTGCATGTATTCTGTAGTAATCATTTTCTCGCACACGACTGCATATAGCTCAACCCCCACTCATCCCAATGAGTATGTCACCCATTTGTCTATTCACATGTTACCTTATGTTTTGAATGACTGCACATTTTATATACACTCATTTGACAATACCAAATGATGAACAATCACTCTATAATGCACAATACAATTTCTGATATAATTTTCATATGCCTTTAATGACTATTTGTATTATAATATTTATGGATTTATAACTGTAGAGAGTGAAGAAGAATTTATCGAAAACAATTATTCGCTCAAAATCATCTCGTTCTAATTGACAAGATGAAATACGATTTTTAATTAACTTCAAGCGTGCAATATCATATTCACTCAATGGCAATATCATGGAAGAAAAATACAATTCCCTATCGCTAACCGTTGAGTGACATAACGCGACAGAGTGAAGTAAGTGGTGATGTCCTGCTGAAGGCCTTACGCACTACTCGGGATCCAAGAGAATAATAATAAATAAAGTGATGATAATAATACTGTTAATCACTTTCAAAAATAATCCCGATTGATTTTCACTCTGGGAAACATTTCTGATATTTGCATAAAACTATATATATCACTAATTTATTGAGGTGAGTAGCCGTATACTACTCACATCAACAAGTAGTGCTTGCTAACCAGATCGAAATGATCTAGACACCAGACGGGCATTTTGCTCAGTTCGAGTCGAGTTCATCAGCAATGTGCTCTATTTGAATAAGCTTAGAGAACCGAATCAGTTCAGAACATTCAATTTCCGGCTAGCAAGCAATACTGGTTGATATGAACGACATTCAACTACTCATCTCAATTAATCAGTAGAATATAGTTTTATGCAAATATGCTAGTTTTCTTGATTATCAATAACGATTTCAAGCAGATCATATATTGAGATCTGAATAATGTCAGTTTCCAAAGGAAACCGTGATGAAATATACCTCATCTCGAACTGTGTAAATAACAAGTTAATTCTCGAGTTTGACCACTCTTGATAATCTTTCAAGTTTCTTAATAATAAGATCACTATATCTCGTGGCATGCTGACATTTGGTAAGCGTTTTTTTGTACCTATTGTCACCGAGAATGAATAGCATGAGAGTCCCTCGGTTGACACCCATAATATGTGCGCCTAAGGTAGCTGATTTCTTCAACTGACATCTGTTAATGATCGATGATATACGCCTTATTCAAACATATGCTGTTGGACCTCATATATAACTACATAATATTACCCATGAATGCAAGCAATCCTACACAGAAAAAAATAATCTAAAGCACTAGAACGGTGAGTAATTAATCCCCGCACAAGATTGTTAGCCTACAAGCTTTCATCATTCAGCACTGGGTACTGACCTGCATTGTTTAAGTTGATTGATTAACCTGAAGGTATACACGGTCAATCATCCACACTTTTCGGCATGATATCATATTACATTCGGTTATTTATGCACGGAATCTAGTTTAGCCATCATACGTATTTGGCCCCAAAATATATTTCGCATTTTAGACGGTTAATTTGTTCCACTGGTTCGGTTTCTCTTACAGTCATCTAGTTATATACGATAAATGCATTTGGGGTTGGAGGGCATATACTTGCCTTGTCGAATAAGCATGCCTTGCATATATTGGTCAGTATTCTTCCTCTCCTTAAAATATACAATGAATGGAATACTGATAACAATTCAGTCAAACCCTGAAGGTTACATCGTAGCACCAACTTAAGGACACAAGAATATTGTAGTAGTTATTATCTGATAAAGTATTTTCACTGTGTACACGTTAAAAAATAGTCAAACATTTGCAGATCATGATAAAAACAGACTTCTACAACAATGTACGTATGTCTAGTCATCTCCTACCTCGACGGGCAATGTTAGCAGACATGGGGTCAGGCTGGAAAAGAGCTAACGGCGATCAAACCAAAACATAGAGCCATTCAATGAAATCTACAACAGTTAGTCTCAGCCACGTGGGAAGGTGTAGGCTTCCTGACTGGTTGAGTTCCTCGGGACGGTAAAAACCAATGGCTGGAGACAATCGGTGATATGAATCAAAATCGTTCTCAATGACTGGCGCAGATGCATCCACTCCTTGTGACTTATGATTTCCAATGAAACTGTTTTGTTCTTCGTTATTACTCTTCCTTTGTCTCACACCACTGTTTACTGTCTCTATTATGCATTTCTTCTACTTTCTTCTGTTGCTTTGTGTGCTACATGGAGTATGGCGACTTGAACTGCTGCACATATGTGCAAAGTTCCATGTCGAAAACAAACAGAAAAATGTAAGAATTACAGGAAATAGATCACGTGCAAGGGCCATAAAATACAAGAAGCCAGAAAAAGAACGAAAAAAGCAACAATGGAAAGAAGACGACAGTAAAAAAACAAAATGAAAAGGCACTAGGAAAAGACAACGTGAGATAGACTAATGTGGAGAGCACAATTATGGACAACAATAAAACGCCAAATTCTAGAGTACGAATGTATCTGAGCACATGCACTAATTTCTTGGTTTGAACATTACTTACAATTATCCACTCAAGTCCAGATATTTGTTCTTTGAGGTGAAAAATAATTGATTTTCAGTAAATGAGGTATTTCGATTCTCATATTTACTTTAATTTATTTCATATTAACTATGTTTCAATATAAAAATAAAACTATATTTTTTCAAACATACTTGTAGTCTTGTGGTGTTTGTGAGTCTTTTGATTCTACAGCGAAATAGAAACGTCCACCTTGAAATCGATCAGTTTCAGCTTCACGTTTCCCAGATTTCCATTTCTGTTTTAATAGGGATGGGAAAAAATACCAACAAAAACAGTGGTGTTAAGAGTTGAGAGAAATATTAACTGGAAAAAGACAACGGTTTATAAGATAAGATACTTAGATAAAGTTTGCATTCCAAATTTCACTTAATCTTTAACTTACGAGTCGTAGATTTAAGGAAACTGTTTAACTTGCTCGCTCCTGAACAAGCACTTAGTAGCATACATGCCTCCTTTGTACAGTGTGAACAAGACGATAAGCCTTCTAATATGTACTACTTTATATTATTATTCCCTAGGGTTTCGAGTCGAATATAGGGTTTCACCAACAATTCTCCATTTAACTCTGTTCTCTGAAGTGTTTCTCATTTCGCCTCATGGTTGGCCATAATCTTTCATTCCCTTCTCAAACAATCTCCTCCATATCACCCATGGAGCACCGTCTAAATCATTATTTTTTATTCGAGTTCCACCCAAGGGCCTGGAGTGTGATGTCACTCAAGGAGTCCTTTAGGTGTTCAATGCATCTACATAGGTTTCCAGTTAGTTCCCTGTTGCCTGCTTATCCCTTCTGGCCGGCCATCCCAACTTCCGTATCGGGTAAAGACAGTTGTTGCCAAAAGTCTGCAGCTCACTGGAAACACTTTGGGCGATGCGCTTGCGAAGTCTCTCAACCACATACACGCACTGAATTGATATAAGTGGAAAATTCGGACATTCTTCCTTATGCTGATTGAAGTATTGAAAGTTTATCTTGTCTTTCCTATCCCGGCCTTGATATTCCCATCCGTGCCGCCTTTAGTCAGAATGACAATGACTGCTTGGGTAAGGAAAGAGACGACTTCGGTTAAATTTTAGCTGTTGATGGAGAGGGCCAGTCAATGTTGTTGGTTAGGTAATCTTCATCACCTTTGTCTTGTTTATGTTCACCAGAAGTTCTGTCTTCGTTGCCTTTTCTGCCAACTTAATAATTTTCGCCTATAGATAGTCGAGTTTGACGCAACATCAAACATGAATCATCCTCAATGTTCAGATCTTCTGGAGTCTTTCTAACGGCCCAAGGTAGGCCCACCATTTCGCTTCCTAGACTCTGTTGCATGATCCAATCCGAGACAATCGAGAACAGTAAGTAGTTCGTCCTACTCCTGTCTTCATTTCTATTTAGTGCAGATACACTGTGATATTTTTTTCATAAATACGGAATGAAAATGATTAACTGACTGCCCGATAATAATATAGACCAAACGCTTCAGTTACACTTAAAATCCTAAACACAGGATTCGTCTAAAACACAGTATCATATGAATAAGCAACAACAGTGTGAAAATTACAAACTTCGAAAAGAAAATGTGCCAAAAGGATAAACAGAAGGGATGAGTCAAAATGAAAGAACCAAACGCATGAATATGCTACCTAGGGATTAGTTATCCTGACCAGATTTCTTCATATACTAATAGGCTATAGCTCACACTTCATATATGACGGCTGATGAAACCAACCACTTTGTTTATGGCAAAGTGAGGGGGCGGGGTTCGAACTCTATATCCCCATGGAGAAATTTCTACTGGTTAGGCAGATGAAGTCAGGGAGCACACTTAGTCATGCAACAAGAATTGGTATAGACAAAATAAAATCTTAACAACATGAACAAGACACAGTCTCACGGAGATGAAGAACTTACTACTAGTTAGTGGTAACTGAATAATACAGGGTTGGGTGAGAAAGAAGTTAACTTATTCCTCAATGTCTAAAACGATGCGACTCATCCACCACCGGTATTACATTCAGGAAGATTGCTAAATCCTTTAGTAGAAGTTAGGTTGTTGAAAGGAAGATTTTAGTAATTTTAGTTTATCCTTTACGCTCCCACTAGAACACAATGCTTTAGGCTAGAGTTCTGAAGTTTAAGTAGCAGTGATGTTTTATTTTTAAGGGGTGGGGTCGCTAGCCTCATGCCCAACCTCTCCCCTCATTACCGGTTTGGTAAGGGTAGAGGGGTGAGTCGGTCGGAGATCGTACCCCGGACCCCCTGAATGGTTGGCGAGCACTATTCCGCTAAGCCACCAACGCACGAAGGAAAGATGTGTTTTTTGAATATTCATACAGTTCCACTGGGGGACAAAAGGAATAGAGAAAAAAGATTGTTAACAAGAAATCAATACTTTGTAAGGCACTTGCGTTTTTTACCCAGTTTATTCCTTATCTTTCATGGTGTCTATCCATACAGATAAAATTTACATAAAAAGTCGTTTCTAGACAAAAACACGATGCTTAGTGTATATGTATATGGGATAAACAATTTAATACCTGAATGTATGCAATATTACAGAACAATTTATCTGAATGTTAATGTACAAAACATGTGAATTTCGATTACTAACAACATTATCATAGGAAATCACAACAAATTGGACAATCTTATACACATATTGTTATGTTTTATTGACACTCATTGGCTTACTTTGAAATCAGTACAAGTTAGAAAGTGTAGAAATACTGAACTATGCGACACAACAGGATGTTTACACATACGTGTTAACCATTGTTGTAACCATTTACGACGTTCATCAACAAAATCATCTTCATATCGACCTTATACAATGTAAAGAAAGAAAAAGGAATAAAGACTACTAGTTGTTTAAGTTAATCGAATATACATACTATTTAGCAAATAGTTGGTGAGTCGGCGGTTCATTGGTAGAATGTTCGCCAACCCCAACCCCATGCAGTACACGGTCCAGGTTCGACTCCTGGCATGAGCCTAGTATCCCTACCCTATAAACTAAATGCCACTGCCACTTTAAAGCTTAAGCTTTTTCCATTTGAAACACAAAGACAATAGTCAGTTATATGATTTGACTAGTGGTGACTTAAAGTGAAATACAGAACGTGAGCATTTCGTCTTTTTTGTGACTCATCGTCTGGATGAACCTGCATCCCACCAAACGAAACTCAAAACCCTGTACATACCGCTTCAAACATCGAAGGGTTATCCACAGTACCAAGAGAGTGAGAGATTCAACACTTCGGTCCAATATATATAAATTAATTGCCTCAAATTCAAATTAATTATTGATATTTACATTTTTGACCTACCAAATTTAGCACCACTATTCAGTGAATAAAAGACATAACACACTATCCTGTTAGTGGGATCATCTCCACATCAATAAAAGAAAGCACAGGGATATCTGAATTTATTGTGTAAATGTTATTTATGCTGGTGAACAAATTGGACTCAAACGATGAAGTGGATTAGTAAAGAAGGGACTGATGATGCTGATGAAGATATATATATATATATATATATATATACAGAAAGAGATTTCAAGTGAAGAATATGAATACTAATAGGTTACAGAATTCACAATAACACAGTCGTATTTATGCAGAATATACAGAACAGTTAACAAAGCATTCACTAAAAAGCTGCTTATAAACTACAATGCATAAATAATAACCAATAAACAGTTCCATCAGGTAAGTTATGGAAATACTTAGTGGTAATATTAAAAAGTATTTTTATCAAACATATGTTTAATAAACAAGAGTTGATATGTAAGGATTTGATTTTTGATTTAGACCACGGATTGATATCACTTAGAGAACCATTGAAAATCAGGCAGTACTGGACAGCTGTCTCGCCATCCTAATTTGGGACTCATAGGCAGTACACACCCATGTTCCGGTTACAAGGTAAGCACGTATACCATCCGGCTGCTGGAACCTGATTCAATGGCTCATGAGTCCTAACTCCTACCAATTTGTGATTTTTAGCACGACTACCAACCTATGTCATCGGCCAGAAATCCAGCCTCACTCCCGACTGGATGGACCTCAGTGGCCACAACTTTTCACTAGAACTGCAGAGAAATTCGTCCTGTTGCAAGTCACTAGCGAGCATAAGCTTTAATATTTCTGGGACGAAATACTTGGATGTAACAGATAGTCATTAAAGTAGGTGTTAAATATCACAATTACATAGAAAATATTAATGCACAGTTGTACTTGTGGGGCTGTGGCTTATCAGTCTATGGCTCTTGACTTCAAAATCAGTGGGTCATTGGTTCGAACCCCACTGCATCTACCAAGGTTTGGACAGGGCAGCCATGTAGTATTGATAGTATTCATACACAATAGGTATGGTTCATTGTCAAGTGCATGAAATTGTTAGTGGTTGTTGAGTGATATTCTCTTTTTTCCATTGTATTTATCATTTATTTTATTCCTTTGCGTTTTGAGTGGAACATAGGGCTTCAAGCTGGAGCTTTAAAGTCTCAATAGCAGTAGTGGTTTTACAGCGTGTGATTGCTAGCCTCACGCCCAACCTCAAGTATTTTTCGGGATTATAACCAGCTAAGAGAGGTAAAAGTGTGAGTCGATTAAGAATCAAACGCTGAACCACCGACGCATACATCCCAAAGTTGTACTGCTTATAAATCATTTGCAACATGGTACTGGAGAATACTGAAGTGTGTAGTATAGGTTTCAAACTGATAAAGAATCGTCAAACAGATATTGAAGTGATAGGGTGGTGAGAGTAGGTTGCTAGCCAATTGGTAGACATTAATTTACGTCAATGTATATGTCCCCAATATTGGTCGTGAGAAAAATATGAACAAAAACTGATTCAACAACCAACCACAGCACACTTTGCGTAGGCGGATACAGTTAGCATATAGATGATTTGACATTCAAGAGACAACCACAAAGAGATGCAAGATCAACTTCTGTGAGAAACAACCAATCAGAAGAGTGTGTTTGTTTGCTTGAATAAGCTATAATAATGTACATGAAAATATATAAATACGTGTTGATTTCCTTAATAAACGATCTGTTGCCTGTCCCTTATCTTAGATGTCAATCGGATAGGCATTTTAAATGCAAATTATCATTCTTTGTGATTACTCAGGTCTATTAAATCCTTATTGTTTTGGACGGCATCGCATCCTCTAAATCTTTCAGTTTATGATAGAATCTTTGAATTTCTTGTTTTTGTCTACCTTTATATGCACCTTCATGAAATATGAAAACCTGAACTGATTCACTTTTCTATAAAGTTCTACGTTAATGGAAAAAGAAACTGAGTTCAGTCCAGATAAAACGCTTTTTATTTTTATAAAATTAAGTACCAACCACTTGTCAACAAATGACGTAACTTTTTAAAAATGGAGAGATAATAATCCTTTAAACTCGAAATTTTCTTCTTTTGAATGGAAACTATCGTCATTCTTATAATAAACCAACACCTGTGAATGTCATTCTACTGTGCTTAATTCCATATATGGGACTAAGTTAAAGAAAAGATAGGCACAAGGAACGAACGTAACAGTGACGTTGAAACAGACAGTTACCCTAACAAGTTAATTTAGGCCCCTTACATAATCCTAACGCCACTCCCTCCCGAATCAACTCTGATAACTCTCTAACCTAACCCTTCTAATACTAATCTTTCCCGAAGCCAACCTTAAACCAATCGGATATGGTGTTGAATATCCTTTAATATTTTTCACTACACTGGTTAATGAATATAGCATTATCCACCTGGTTTCACTGACTTGCTCTGAATCAGCGCTCCACAGACAATAATGAGTTCATGCCTGTTGGCCAGTAATGCGGTAAATGCATTTCTGCGTAAAACAACAGATTAGTTATAGAGTGGCAAAATAATTTGCATTCACTTTATCACGTTTATCACACAAATACTATTTATTTTATCATTCTATAACTAATCTATTGTTCTAAGTAAAAATGTCTCTGTCAGATAACTGGCTATTCCTGTAATTTCATGTTTCATCAGGGACTGACCTCAATTAGAAAACCATTGAGAACTAGGGAGCAATGGACAACTGTTTCGTCGTAGGCTGGAGCTCTTTAGTAGTACGGTAACATGATCTTACGAAGGATCGAATCCACAGACTTCAAGGTTACAAAGACGGCCTCATTGACCATTCAGCCACTGGAGCGGAATCCAGTAACTGGTTTAATTTGTGATGTATAGCGCGACAATCAAAAAGTGTCATCAGGGAGTAATTGTTTTCACGCCCAACTTGGTAGACGCCGCTGTTCAAGATTTTTTACTAGAAATTTGGGGAAATTCATCCTGTAGTGAGTCACTAGTGAACACTGGATTACACTTTCAAGTTTTGGTTTACAGGTATTTGATTGATTTCAAGTTTGATCTCGAACTGATTTTTGTAATGATAAATTTATTTTATTTTATAACTTTTAGGACCTGAAAAGAATTAACTGAAAGGAATATTCTTGGTTGAGACCGATTTTTAATAAATATTATATTTGTCTGAGTGATACTGCACTATTTCGGTTAATAATAAGAATAACATAACAACACATTTATCAGTGAAGTTTTATCACACACTAAGAATTTATTCACAACAGTAGCGGATTAATCCAATCACAGTACACAGTAGGTGGCAGCTATCAGAATGTGTGTTTCATCGTATTTTCGGATCATCAGCTAGATTCACTTGAATCCCCAGGGAGGGATTGTATACCCCCCCCCACCATTGATACTTGAAGCCAACACCCATCGTTTCAGAAAACAAAATGTTATTCCAATAAACTGCTGGATAGTGTATTAGTTGCTATTTTTTAGGAGTAATAATTATGCTTTCATTGGGTTGATATGTTTAGTCATTGTAGTCAAGTCGTTTCCTAGTACATGTATATACTTCGACAATCATTTAGGCTAACATGATAGTGATGTTTGTAGGAAACATACATCCTAGATTCCATTGCTAGACACAATCAACCATGTGACATCATCGTCGAAAAGTCTGTGGTATACATATTCAGTGAACCTACTTCTGCAAAAAGATATTTCACATAGAATGCTTACACGTAAGCAATGACAAAAGAAAAGAATGAATACATTAAATTGGTAAACTTACCTGTTATAGCTTTTTCAGGTAAAGGTGGAATACAAATACACGGATATTTGGATAATAAACGGGAATGAAGCCAATCGAAGTGTTTATATCTTCTGCTAACCTGTGTCGCTGTAACCTATGAACGAATTAAAAATAAATGGATGAAGCTATACTATAGGAAGCACATGAATCATAGAATTAGCATCAAGTGAGGAATTCAGGAGATGACAATATCCGATTAATATGATTTAGGTAACCACTAAAAACCAGGGACTAAAGGACAGTTATTACGTCCTAGGTTGGGATTCTCCAGAAGTGAGGAAACACGACCCGATTTGGGATCGAACCCAGGACCCTCAGGTTACGAACTGCATCCGTTGGTGATTCACAACAACTAGAATGCAATCCAAAGGTCCGTGAATTCTAACTACTACCAATTCACGATATACCCTGCCACCACCAGCCAATGTTCTCGATGATCACAAGTCCTTAAAACCCAACCTGATGGACTCAACTGGTCATGACTCCTCAACAGAACTGAATGCATTTCATCCTGTAGTCGGTCATCAGTGAGGATTACATTAATTTTTAAGTGCTGGTTTGCAGGGATTTCATTGATTTCAAATCACATTACAATCTGACATTTGCAGGAGAATGATTGAAAACCAGAGAGTACCAAGAGGTTGTTTCATCCCAGTTTGGGAAGCAAAAATCAGTTATTACAATCAGTTATTAGTCTTTCCTTGCCTTGGTAACTGGATGTCTTTTTTCTCCCATCTGATTGCGTAATCTTTGTCTTTAACCTCACCCTCTTTTATATTCTGTAATTTTGCTTGTCTCTTGTTTCTATGATTTGAGTTCAACTCAGTACATTGTTACCTAACTTATTAGTTACTATGCGTCCAACGCACATCCCTTACCATTATATACATACATTTATTTATTATTTTTTTTTAACTTGAACTGCCTGTGTAAAAACTATATGAGCGCAATTTTCTGAGCACTGTTTACTAGTTGTGAAACTTTCTGTCAACATGTAAAATTTGCAAGTACGTTAAAACGTTTCTGCACTTAAACCTGAAAATTTATTTAGACTGTAAGCAGCTGACGAGAAGCCAACGAAATAAATGATGGTACCATGTTATTCTGCACAAATCAATGTTGTTCTCGCTTTATTCAAAAATGACTCCAGTGAAGATTGGACCCCGAAACTGAAAATTACGACCTGAGTTCGTTGAGACAGAACTAAATGACCCATGAATTCTAATTTTTGCCAGTGTACGATATGTAGCACAAGACAGTACAAAGTTAATCAGACAAGCATGAAATTGACACTAATTGAACGAAATTTCGTGATATTTTGGTCTAAAGAATCATATGAAAAGATGGTAGCAAACAACAAATAAAAGAAAATGTCTTACAAATAGCAGCCTCATTTAAATAAAACAGTAATCCTATGAACAAAGTCCTACCCGCATAGTCCTTTTATATATATACATATTTGCAATGAAACGTTTATTGTACACATTAATTGTTATAATAATTCCCCCACGGTGCCAGTACACTAATAAGACATATTCACAAAAGTAGTTAAATATTTTAATTCATATATCATACATTCTTTATACTCACTAGTCTAGAAAACTAACTTTAAACCTAAGTGACAAAGATTAGAATACCTCTTAACCTAGACAGGTTTGAGCAACTAGATATTATCTCCCTACGCTTTACACAATACTTTTGATTAGTTGTCAACTGCATGGAGATGCACGTGATTGCTGAATACCATTCATTATCTTCGACTGTCTGTATGTCTGTTTTCGACATAGAACTTTGCACCGATGTGCAGCAGTTCAAGTCGCCACGCTCCATGTAGCACACAGCAACAGAAGAAAGTAGAAGAAATGCATAATAGAGACAGTAAACAGTGGTGTGAGACAGAGGAAGAGTAATAACGAAGAACAAAACAGTTTCATTGGAAATCATAAGTCACAAGGAGTGGATGCATCTGCGCCAGTCATTGAGAACGATTTTGATTCATATCACCGATTGTCTCCAGCCATTGGTTTTTACCGTCCCGAGGAACCCAACCAGTCAGAAAGTTTACACCTTTCTACGTGGCTGCCTTAAACTAACTGTTGTAGATTACATTGACTGGCTCTATGTTTTGGTTTGACCTCCGTTAGCTCTTTTCCAGCTTGAGCCTATATCCGCTAACATTGCTCGTCGAGGAAGGGGATGACTACGCATACGTAACACATATCCTAACCATCTCAGTCGATGTAACTTCACAACCCCGTCGATTGATTTCCCCTCCTTACGTAGAACTCGACGCCTAACCTCAATATTGCTCACCTTATTATGCCACTTCACACGGGAGATAGAACTCAGGCACCTATGATCAAAGACAGCTAATCTTTTCATGTCTTTCACTCTCAGTGGCCAGGTCTCACTCGCAGCCATAAAGGAGGACGGAGTGGACTGATGAGCAGTACACCCGCCCTTTGGATCTTCGACTGACAGTTAACTAGTATGAATACTTATTTTTTTAAAAGTTATTTAATGCTGTGAGGTATAAATGAAAACCACAATCGAACCAAACAATTTATCAATATAATGATGTTGCATTTTGTACATCAGTCAGTTAAATAAAGTGAACCTAACGCTACCTTCGAAATAACAGTTTAGTGTATAATACATATATGTGGCTGTACAACACTAAGGAGGTAAGGTAAAATATTTATTAAGCCATACAAAAACTGTTTACGCAATGATGTTGCATACAATCGTATATATATATATATATATATATATATATATATATATATATATATATATATATATATATATATATATAAATGTATATATATGCGACATGTATATTTACATGTCCAAGAAATATTTAAAGAAAGCCTAAATTGGTAGCACAAAAACGTGAATGTGAAATCGATCTAGCATTTATTCAAAACAAACGTTATGCAGTATAAGTGTTGAGATATGCGTCACACATAAATTAATCAAACAACAACATACAGAAATGAGTAATAGGATGGATGGTTGAAAAACAACAGAATGAAACAGATACACATATTTCATTAAGTATATTATTCAGAGGAACCACTTATTACATTTGTAAGCAGAAGAAGGACATACAAATTCAGCATTTCAATGAGATGAAATTTGCTACACATGACCGAACCACTGAAACCAGTGTCCTACGGTGAAATCACTTAATGAGAGACGACCTTCAGCCTTTTTAAAAAGACACAACCGGACCTCAGAATGACGTCGCCATTAATACTATTATATCCTTTAATTCCTAGAGGAACATAGGGCTTCAGCTGCGCGTCTCCATTACCTTCTGTTTTCTGCCAAATTTTCCACTCCGCTCCAAGTCTGCCCACATGCTTTCATCTCCTCCTCACATGAACTCCTCTAAGTCACCCTTAGACGACCGACTCGCCGCTTCCCTTTCGGGTTCCACTCAAGCAATGGCTTGTCTAGTGATGTCACTTGATGGTTTCCTCAGGGTATGGCTAGCCAATCCATCTCCATTTCTTCCAGCCTATATCTTTCACAATCGGTTCCTGGTTGGTTCGCTCATTGCCAGAGATCCCTGTTGCTGATCTTTTCTGGCTGGCCATCTGATCTTGACTAGCATTGAACGAAGACAACTGTTAATGAAGGTCTGAAGTTTGTTTGAGATGCTTTTTATGACACGCTGGCCAAGTCTCTGATCCGTAAAGTAGTATTGACTTTACATTGGAGTTGAAAATCCGGATCTTATTTTTGATGCTGAGTGGGGCTGTTGACCTCCACACAAACTTAAGGGTAATGAAAGCCTGTCTTACTTTTCCGATTCTGGCTTTGATATCCCCGTTAGTTCCGTTGGCCTGTAGTTGAAACGATGCTTCCCAGGTAGGTAAAGGAGGTTGTTTCTTTCAGGTTGCTCCCATTTATGCTGATTGTGGTCTGTTGTTGCTGTTGGCCAGGAATCTTCATCACCTTTGTTTTATCTATGTTCACCTGAGGTCCTATCTCCTCTGGATGCTTCTTCTGCCAGCTTGTTGCTTTTCACTTGCATTTCTTCCAGTTTGTGGGAAATCAGACATATATCGTCGGGGAAGTCCAGATCCTCCAGGCTTTTTGTGTGAGTCCATTTTATGCCTGTTTCCTCATTGCTCGTTGTCTGTCGCATTATCCAATCTACTGCAATCAGGAAGATCATTGGCGATAATAGACAGCCTTGCCTCACTCCCGTCCTCACTTCGAAGGCTTCCGTAAGTTTCCCGTTGTGGATTACTTGGCATGCAGCATTGTCGTATAACTGTTGGATGAGATGTATAATTGTCGATGGGACCCCGTAGTAGCGAAGTAGTTGCCAAATGACCTCTCGATCGACGCTGTCGAAAGCCTTTTCAAAGTCGATGAAGTTGAGATATAGAGGTGACTGCCATTCCAAGCTTTGTTCAATGATGATCCGTCGCCACTAGACGCAAGCAGTCCTATGGACACTGTCATGTTGGAACACGCAAAGTTGATAGATACCCTCAGTTCAGATGCAAGGCTTGACGGGGAATAGTACGAGACTATTCCCATCGAGGTGTGATGAACTTGACTTTTGTTCATTAGATGATCACTGGGATGGCTTCACCCAGGTTCTGGTTTTCACCATACCAGCTAGAACTTTCGTTTGTTACATATCCGTCACTTATTATACAACTGTCAAGGAACGCAAATATTTCCACTTTTTCTGAAAGTTAACCCACAAGAGAAAGTTTGGGTACAGGTTCTTGCTAATCTTCGATTAATACTTTGAAGTACAACGCATTGGCTAAGTCCGGTGTGAGGCTAACACACGCATAATCAAAGTGTTTTAGTTATTATGTTTTCAATTACTCAAGAAATCAAAGTATGCACTACTCAGAAGAACAACTTAATATATCCTTTCATCCAGTTAGTTTACTTTAAACAGACACATAAACACACATATGGACTGCAAAAGACTCATGCAGAATCAATACTCAGTTTGAAATAACTAACATTTTGCTTATATTTAGTTACAACTGTATGTTACAAACAGTATGACATAAGTCGTGTACCCTGGAACTGAAATGTCAGTTACTCTAACCTGTCAACCAGTAATTAATAAATAATAATGCCCAAATACACAGTTAAGATGAATGAAAAAAGAAAAAACAACACCGCATATCCTAACTTACTGAAGTAGTAATTTGATATGCAATAAAACTTTTAATTCCTTTCATTTTTGAATCTTTTCGAAATGATGAAATATAACTAGTAAGCTCATTGGATGCACAACGCCATTGAAATATTCCATCTACATACTGAAAGGAAATACAACAGAACAATATAAAACGGTTAAACAGACATATCAGTATGCAACAAAAATTTAGTACAACTGAGAAATTCAATAATACCTGATCTACTTAATTGTCATCTCTTTTTATGAGAAATCTAAAAGTATGTGTCTAACAGTCTAAGAGGTCAGGTGAATGTCAATTGGTTTGACTTTTGTCAACAGCCATCAGTTGCAGAACTTAGAAACATAAACCTATGAATATTTCGTTTCCTCGATAATAACCAATAGTAGCTGTTTAGTTCTAAATGTAATGGTTAAAATCTAATGATTAAAGATTGAGAAAAAAGGTTCATTATTACAACGAAAACAGTATTGGAAAATAAATCAAATGAACTATAGTCAAGATTTGACAGAATAGTTCTAAAATATTTGGGCGCTCAATTTTCAGAAAGAAGACAAAGTAATAAGTTTGACAGGGTGCTTCAACTAAACTCTAATCCTAAACACCATAATTTTGAAAATACGTCTAATCATAAAATTCTAGATACTAACAGTTTGAACAGACATGAAGGTAAGATGTTAGCTGACGCATAGGAAATCCTGATTAATAAATAAGAATGGATATGTATCACTAACTAATAATACTTGGTCAGAGTTCCTGACTGTCTATATCTACTTATGGAGACGTTAAGACATTGTTTTACAACTGTTTATCCGCACACATAAACACTGTGTTTAAAGTGTTTAACAAAGGTAGATCAATATTTGTAAGTCTGAGGTCAAATTTTGATCACAACTTTTACAATTTTGTTTATTATACTTGTTAATACTTGTTTTATGACTCATGTTTGGACAAATTTTTAAAAAATAAGAGATGTTCCTTTTATATATAAACCTCTGTTATGTTAATTTCGATTAATTTCCCTGAAGAAGTTCGGACCAGATTGCCGAACGAAACGTTGGAATTACTCATTTCAATATCGCTGAGATTTTACAAATATAACTTTTTACAAATGAAAACAGTGTTGTTTGAAATTAGTAACCTGTAGAAATATCACCTATCATTTTAGTCGGGTGCCCAACTTTTGTTCGTTCTCCCATTCAGTTTTCACACACCTGGACCTCAAACAGAACCCGAATGGGAAACGACGAGTTGGGCATAGGTAAGAGGGTGACGTGCAGGAGATCACGTGTGAGGAAATGAAGGCTGATAGGCAATCATAGAACCTGCTAATAAGATTGCAAGGAACAGAGTGAAATGCAATTTTGCTACTGAAGCTTAATGGAAACCTTAGGATATAATAATATTTGATACCTGTACGTGTAAGTTTGTTGCTGACTTTTACTTGTCAACAAAGTTATAACTTTAGTATTCCCATTACGATAATTATAAAACTCGACCTAAGCAAATACGTATTTCCGGCAAATTCTAGTTTGGCTTAAAAATTACATAATAAAACACTTTCGAAACAACATGGGTCAATAGAATCAAAGTTCAGGGATAAGAGTTAGTGGGCAACAACAGCAATAATAATAGATTGTGGAACTAAGATTAGAATTAGCAATTATACCACAGCTTGATATTGGTAATAAAGTTAGCAGTACAAATAAGAATGAAATTTACAGTTATCTAGTGTCATCAGGAGAGATAACTATTCTGGGTTGCAGTTGAAAGTCACGGGAAGAGGGCAGGGAAGATTGAATAAAGTTTTTCTGAACACAGAGAATGGGTTAAAAACATTTTTATGGCAACTGCCCCATCTATGCTTAGCATTGTCAATCAAGAGTTCCATACTTACACACCTTGTCGATATGGAGAACAAAACTGATAAAAATTCAGACTTTACAATTCTATACAATGTGCCACATCAATTCCCTATTTCACTTTTTGAAAAAGATATACATCATGGAAACCTCTTTACTGTATTTTCTTTTTTTAATGAAATAAGTGGATGTTTTACTGACGGAGAAAAAGTGGGTGAGTTAGAGTGAAGACATGAAGAATTGAACAGAAAATGTAATCAATAAGGGTAAATTATTCATTGCTGATTTGTAAAATGATAATCTGAAGACAATGAGGCAGGATTCATGAAGTCTACATTTGTGAGGGCATAAAATGGAATTTTGAGATATCAAGATGAATTAAACATGATATATATATATATATATATATATATATATATATATATATATATGCCAGTGGTAGAATGTTTACCAGTAACCCACATGTTTTTGGTTTGATTCCCGACCGACGTACTATTAAACCTCGTCTGGCTTACTTACTGCTTAGCACCCTGAGGTCCTCAACCAGGCAGTCCACACCTCCATATGTGGCTCAAACCAAAAGTCAACGACTTCATGGGTGGATTCCAGGTTTTGGTTTGACCACCTCTAACTATTTTCTACGCTAATCCGATCTCATCCAACATCGTTTGTCGAAAAAGGCGTCGGCTCGGAATGAGCAACACGTGTCCTATTTATCTCAGTCGATTTAGCTTCACAATACTATCGAATAACTTCTGTTTTCTACTTAATACTCTAAGCCCAAGTTCAATGTTACTTATCCTATTATACCAACTAACTCAAACATTTGTGGTAAAAGACAGCTAGCCTCTTCAGGTCTTTCAACAGGAATATCTCACAGTCCCAAAACAGGACGGGGAAAACTACTGTGCAGTACACGCAGTCTATGACTGATAACTAGACATCACGTCTACGCTAAAGATGACGTGAGTTCATAAATGACACAAGAGCCTTGTGTATCCCTACTGAGATTTCACCATGAATCAATTGATTAAGGCTGGTGGAACTTCCCAAATAATTGAGGTGGTTAAGACATTCAACCATTTTACTAGCTATTTTGTAACTAGGAGTCAGTGCAGTATTATCTTACATCCGAGGCGGTGAATAGCATAGAATCTTTCAAGTTTTACAGCAAAACATGTTTCTAAGCCATTGGTGAATCATGTGAGAAATCCAAGCACGTTTAATCTAAATACAAATCCGTCATTACCCATTGAAAAAAACATACATCAAATGTCTTGTCACATAGAAAAATCAATGCACATGACTGTTTCTCAATTATTTCACATAATTCTAATCTAAGATTATTATTATTATCGTTATTACCACTGAAGGTGATTAAAGCACTTTGAATGAATCACACGTATCCTAAGTGGTGTGTGCAAAAATTTCAACAATCACCTAACTTGTATCACGTGGCCAATTAAAAAATATAACTTGATTATTAATATGCCGTATGATCGCAGGTAATTAAATGGCGCCGGGCATGAAATGTCAACCATGGTAGTTTCCGAGATGCTACAATGTGATACCATATAGCAAGACTTGTTTTCTGGATGTTGAATGCATTTGTTACCAAATTAATACAACTCATGAACTATACATACCACACATGTTATATAAGAAGTAACTATATTATCAAAATGTTTGAAAAATCAATGGACGCAAGAGATTTCAATTTTACTAACAACACTAGGAAATGTTTCGTCATTCCTCTGAGTTCTGAGTGGAACATAATGCTTCAAGCCTCTCTGAAGTTCTAGTTCCAGTGGCATTGTTTTTACAGGGTTTGATTGCTGGCCTTAAGGCCGACCTTCTCACTATTCCAAAATTACTACCAAGTTAATAAACTAGGCTATGTTTAGGAGTGGATCAGTCGGAACCGGACCTCCTGCATGAATTGAAGAGCATTCTACCCTGAACCATCGACGCACAACTCTAGTGACAGAAAGTCAATATATACTTACAAAGATAATAATTAATTACTAACTCACATATACCATTAAGAAATAAGTTCAACAAGTACAAATATATTTTTTTAAAGTTATGTTAGAAATGCTGAACTCTTTAAGGTCATGCTTTTGTTTTATTACCAATCATGAGACAAGCGCATTCACTTAACAAGTACACAAAATATTATACAAATTGATATAAACTGATTCAAAGTAAAAGATGTATTAAAGACAATACATAAATAAACTTCTAGTGAATGAAAGTTAAAAGGTTGCTTGTATACAACCAAATGATTAAGTTTAGGTTGATGTGTAATGACACTGATTAAGCTAAGAAAAATGTTTTTGTAATTGACTTGAAGTTATAGTTTATGATTGTATTATTCGTAGTTTATATTCCAAATGGAGTAACAGCGCATCTTTATTGCAGTCGATGCTACGCCATAACTTTTAGCTACCTTTAAAAATGCCCATAAGTTTTTATTTCCTTCTCATATGATTCCCTTCATGTCACTACTTCACTTGTCGCTTCCCATCCCGGTTTCAATAGAGGGCCTTGGATATGATATCACTCAATGGTCTCCTCAAAGTATGTCTAATCCACATCCACTTTCTTCTGCATATTTTTTAGGCAAAAGGTTCTTGGTTGGTTCATTGTACTGTCAGAGTTCCTTGTCAATAATCGTTTCCTGTCATCTAACCTTCAAAATCGATATTAATGAAATTCTGCAGCCTGTTGGAAATACTTTTAGTGATACGTAAGTCAAGTCTCCGAACAGTATATGAGCACTGACTATAGCTTGGTGTTAAGAATTGGAATCTTTTTTCTTTTGGTGAGTGCACCAGATTTACACACTGATTTCAGAGGAATGAGGGTTTATCTAGACTTTACGATCTTGACTTTGATATCTTCATTCGTACTGCCTATAGTTGAAGGGAAGCTGCCGAGGTATGTGGAAGAGACGACCTGTTTTAGATTTCTCCTACTGATGGTGGTTACTGCTTATTGTTTTTGGTTGGTGGGGAGGAGGGAAGCGTATGATCATCATTATTGTCGGCTCATTGGCTTAAGTATTGGGTTTTAGTCGAAGGGTAACGGACTCGAGTCCCATTCCACCTACTTCAGCCTGATCAACTGGGTATTATCATAAGCCCAGTCACGATAAGTGTGGCTCTTAATCTGGTACATGGAAAATCTGTCCCGAGTAGTTGAGAATTATACATTGTAAAGTGGTAGAAGTTAGAAGTGATGGGCCATTGGATTTTGTCTCAGTGGCTTAATTGTATACAAGTTCGCCTTGTAACCTCAAGATCCTGAGTTGGATCTCTTGTGGGATGTACACTGATAAAGAGTCCCAAACAAGAACGAAACAGCTATCCAATGGTCCTCTTACTGAAGTCACTTCATGATCAATCTTGAAATAATATTGCGGTAAGAATGGATGGTTAGACCAATGAATAAGGGTGTAGAGAAAGTGAACTATTGTCTGTCTTGAGTTATTTTTTTTACTTGGAAAAGCAGAATTCATTTTCCCAAAGATTAAATGAGTTAATTATGAATTTTTATGTCAATGTGAAGTTATTCTATGCATACGAGAAGAGACACCACCTTTGATTTCGCCACCAACACTTTACACATTCTATATAAAAATTATGAAAATATGAAGTTAATTTCCGCCCGTCACCACACACACACATACACACACACGGAGAGAGTGAAACTAACTACACATATGCACATGATGTCATCTATTTTGTCTAATAGAAAATTTAACTGAGTCAGCCTTCTAATTTGCATACATCAGTAGGCAATCACTTCTAAAGTAGAATAATTTTATTTGACACACTACACATAGTGATGATACAATATTATTTATTTGCTGATGACGTGTTTTCAGAGCAATTCATTGCTCATAATTATATAAAGGGGTTATCATCAGCAAAAGAAATAGTGCTGTTATTAGTTGTTTCGAGACAATTGTGAGTATTGGTACTTTACCAGTCAGCAAGGTGTATCTGCAATCTTGAAGGAACTCATGTTTCCTTTGAAATTTGAACCCAGGTCACCCATTACTGCAGTCAGAGATGTTACCACTGAGTTGTTCGGGCTCGCAATTTATCTCCTGTAGAACTGTAATAGATACTCTGATTTGAAAGCAATCCAAATAATAATAATACTGTATATCACTGTGAGTTTTATGAAATAAATCTATAAATTAGTGTGCAATCAAATTAGGAAAATAGTAGAATGTACAAATTTTAAGAAATCAGAAGATAAATTTCATCACATTTTCTTAACTGTGTACTAGACAAATAAAGAAATAAATAATAGGAAGGAATAAAGTTGAGATACATAACATTGTACTAGGTTTATTAATTCTTAGATTATGACGAAATATTGCAATGTGCCAAATAAAATTAAAACATAAAAATGGTTAAAAGAGCTTTCTGAGGCTTCAACAGAAACAACAAATCAAAGTGTACAGCTAGGAAACTCGTCATTTGCCGCTTTCAAAATAATAATAAAAAGATGATAGAATTTCACATCTCCAGTAAAAGACCACAACCCAGCCTTGACATTCAAAAAGACACAATTATTAACCTTTACCTTAGCATGGGTAATGACATCTCGTATTACTTCGTCTAATGGATATACATAGCAAACAGTAAAACTGTATTATTTACTGGATGAAATTTGGAACACAATTTATTGTTCATAATCATGTTATCAATTGTAACTTGACTTTTATAGGTCTCTTTCTTCCTTTTTATTTGTAATAGGGGTGACAGAATTTTCCGGATGTCTGAGACAGGTGTTGAAGCTTTAATCATCGAATCATCTGAGAAAATATATAATAATAGGAATGATTTAACACCTGTCAACCAGAATATCTAAAAAAGACTACTATCCCTACGACAAATGGAAAGAAAGAAGGAGGATTGTAAAAATCAAGCGTCAAAGTTGTGTAGTTACAACTGATGACGTGATTATGAATAAATTGTGTTTCAGCAAACAATACTTTTTCACAGCGATACATATAATAAACAAGTTAGCACAGAATTATATAATATAACAGTGCCCAAATTGTACACATAGTTTAATGGGTAATACTAATTTTGGTATTTCATACCGGTATTTCTCATCTAGTTACCCCGTCTTAATGAATTGTAATTGTGATTCACTAATTTGGTTTATTTCAATCTTATTAACTTGTATAAGCCGGTGGAGACGAAGATGAAGAAATATAATAATCTAATTGTATAGTGTGGAATTTGTTATTCTTTTTGTATTTTCAAGAAAACAGTATGATTTATCCACTTACATCGATATTGGCTTCAATTTGAGGGAAAGACGGTGGATCATGATCCAATAGAAAATCTTCACCACCTGTACGAATAAATGATCTATGAACAGGGCGAAAACAAATAAACAAGCAGGCACATAAAAGTAAACGAAAACAAATGTGACTGAGTTCAAAGAATGCAAGAGCTGTGATTAGAAGTCGTCTGCAAATCTGAAATTTTATTCATTATGTACATTACTAAAAGATTTGAGTAAACTACGAAGTGTAAAGGATTATCAAGAATACATACCATAATTTTGTAACGGAGTCCGGAAATCCTACAACTCCTACACGACTATTTAAGAATATTTGTTCGATTCTGACTACTGTATAAATCTACAAAGCCAATTTTAGTATTATCTTTACATGGTGTGTGCCAATCTACTAAAAATGCAGAAGCTAAGGTAATAAATATTTTAAGAAATAACGGCTCCTTACACAGAAGAATACTGTTTAGTTAACAAGATATTTCATCTTTAAATTCGTTACTGTCATTTTACTCCCACTAGACAATCTGAACATTTCGCTACAAAACTGAGTCCGATTCTTGTAACTATATTACATCAACCAACTTAGTTAACTAACCACTGTTTAGGTTTTGAGTGAATCTTCATGGGATTATTACTTTTAAATGTGAATACTGTGTTGTTTATCCTTTCTAACATGACTACATGATAGTATTTTGAAGGGGAAACCAAAGTACGTCTATTTTCAAAAACATCGGGTATATGGGGAGTGAGTAAATGCTAGTGCTAACAAATATGGTGCTGTTTTGAAGGCTTAGAATGACCAAATAATACCAAACATCCTTGACCATAAATCTTAGCTGTTGAGAAGGCTGCTGATTTTTTCACACTGAGCGGAAACTAAGGTCAAATATTCTAGATAAAATAAAGTATATAACAGTAATAAAAACACATTTACTATTTAGTTGAGCATGAAAATCTCGTTATTTTTCAACCGATGCACATTATAGCTTTTTCATAATCTCCTTTTGAATGATTATAATACTTCTGTATTATGCAGAAAAGTTGTGGAGCTACTCAGACAGTGAATTAGTAAGAACTAACCAGGTGAATCTATTTGTTTCAAATTGTTACAAAAAGTTTGATCACTACATTAACTTGTCCAGTTAGCTAAAATGGGTGAAAATGTTAGACATGTCGCAAACAGTTATAACGATGTTTTAATTTTGTTATATTAATTGACTAATGTTTATCAGAGTAGCAAGACAAACTTTAGATTGGAAAACACCATGAAAAACAACAAAAAGTAAAACACAATAAATATCTACATTCTGGAATGGTTCGCAGTTGCAGGTATGGATTTCACACCCTAAAAAAAGATCAGGATAAAGCTATAGTTAAGGCCTGAATACATCAATTTTAGCAGGTTTTGAGACCTATTTTGTCTAAATCACTTCAATCAACATAACTGAATAAGGTAAAGTTCCCATGACTTCTGAGAATGATTACTAGCACATGAAACCGATGTTGTGAACTTTTCTTATAATACGTATCTAATCATATTCATATCTCTACCGCTATTAACACTTTTTTCCCTTTATACGTTTAAGCCATTCCGGCTTCATTGTAAAATGAATAAAGCCTAAATTCTTGGTTCATTCGTCTTTTCACGATTCAAGCATCACTCATCGTTCTAAGACTCAGTCACTTTCGTAACAACCATCCCCATCGATCATGAAATAGACTTTGAAAATAAATTATAATGAACATATAACTTTGAAAAAGAAATAACTACTAATCAATGAAGTTCTACATAAGCTACAGATAAGAATAGGACCTGCACCAAGAAAGACCCAAAAGAAAACAACTATGTGACTTACAGTATATAATGAAATACAGTTAGATCTTATTTCTAATATACAAAACATCAATCACAACTTATAAGTAACTTTTTACTAATGAAACAGCAATACAATAACTATTAATAATAATAATTAAAAACTGAAAATCAGTCTGACAATAAAGAATTCAATAAAAAGGAATTATATCTCACCTGTTGAAAAATTTACGTATAGGTGTATTCCGTATATACTCAGCATGATTATAAGCTGACACAGGTGAATCTAAACGTTTACCGCCAACTTGAGGAACAGAATAGTCAATTGGTGGATGCTGTCGATCGCTTAATTTTCTATTCTAAATACAAAGATCAAGTAGGTATTCAAAAGGGATTATCATATTTTTGAAGAGAACGTTATAAATAATGGAGAAATGTAGCAACGCGACCGGTAGCTGCTACCTTAACATGTATGGTGGTCAGACTTGCATATCACAATGAACCAACGAGCTACAGATGCTGGAACTAATGTTTCTGCAGGTTCTGCTCTTCTAGAAAGGTTGTTCGAACATTTCAGCGTAAGTCATTTACATTATTTTAGGGGCCTGTGGACGAAGTAGTACTGCTGGTGAAAAGGAGTGTAACATCAGTAAGGTGTTTCTCTCAGAGAACCAGCAAGTTAGTTATGCTACCTATCTGCTCTGCAGAGGGCATGTATTGAAAAAGATCGACACTGAAAATTGTACATTCCGACTTACCTTGCAGTGGCCAGTAACCAGTGGTAAGATTTTGATGCGGACACAACTTCGTTTGAGACCGGCCTCAAAAAGTTGTCCCTTGGGCTCTGTGGTCACGCAACGCTACTCTTTCTCCTGTTTCAGGTACCCTAACAAGGAGTGGACTTCCATGATGTGGACGACTAGAAAGTAATAACCGCTTGTACACTGTGCGTCGATGGGCACAGTGGTTAGGACTCTCGCCGACCATGCACATGGTCCGGGGTTCGAGCCCGCACCGACGCACACCTGATATCTATGGTCGGCCTGCAAAATTTGGGCTACCGATATCCATGCTGAAAATTCCATACTTGTACCGAAAATACAGTGTGGAATCAAGCTGTGAATCAAAAATAAAATAAAAAATAAAAAAATGTAGTATAAAACATTTACTATGTAGGAATTTTTAGAAAACATTAAATCTACATTAATAGGCAGTGTTCCATGAGAAACTGACCAAAATTCGAGTGAGAAGCGTTGATATTAGTTTGAAAGTTTAAAGTAGAAATGTTGTATGTATTTCTTTTTTCGACAAAACAAACTTTAATTGTTGGAAACATGCAGAGCAGAGCCTAAATAAATGGAACTGAATTTTACCAATCCAAAAGTAAAAGTCTCAAATTAAGCATAAAAACAAACTGCCAATCATTTATTCAACCATTTCAATTTTCAGATGACTCATTTGTGGAACCAAGATGTATTGATGCACCAATTTTATGTGAAAAGTCTGTTAAAACGACCTCCGACAACAACATATGATCGCTACATAACGTTATGAAAAATTGCAGATACCTAACTGTATGAGGTGAGAAATGTAGACTTAACATAGTTATTGTAGGTGACCGAAATCACGATGTACATGTACCAAATATTCTTCATGAGTAATTGACCAATACCAGTAACGACATGCTAATAACGCCTTAGTAGATATATCCTCCAATTTCAAATGACCATATTTACACTTAATTCTAGAATGTGGCGATTTAATGTATCCCCAGAAGAGTTATAAAGTCCTGATGTAAACCATTAGTTCACATGAACCCCGCGGGAATAAAGTAAAGTAGCGTATGACCCTGATTCGAGATCCAGAAACCATAGAATTGAAGTTCGTTGCGCTAATAAAATGTGGGTAGTGTTTGGCAACAGTGTTACGACTCATTCGTAACGAGGACCATATCTGTAAGTCCCGATTCAAGAAGTACATTATTGATAAAATAAAACCTCAATAGACTTATATGGTGTGCTTTAAAATGAGTCAGAAAAAGAGGGGAGGCAGATAATACCGTTTGACTCCGAAGACCTCTGTAGATTGAGCGGCGTTTCAAAGTCCAATCTGCCGGAATCCTCTGTAATAAAATAATATGACCGAACTCAGCCATTTCGTATAACTTAGTCATATGAACTAAGACCTTGGCTGTATAGTTGATTGGTATCTCTCCATCTCATTTTGCCTACTTCCGTCTGCGCGCCAAGGGAGTGTCACAGTCAACACACTAAATATGAGGTTTTGTGTGGTGCAGCTCTTGGTACCCATAGTGTGCCAAATTTGTGTTACAATAATAACACTAAGAATAAATCTTATTATGCAGAGGTCCGCAAGGGACTACAATCATCAATTACCCAACTCATTATTGCGTAAAACTTAGGCATCGATAGTTTGTAATTCCATAAACATAAATTATTATTATAAATTCAGCTCACATCACCTAGGAACTCCTATTTTATATGCAAATAACAATGATTTAATCATGGAAACAAGAACTTTTAAAAGATAGTAGACTGAGTGCGGTATTACACCAAAATATGGTTATAATTACATCATTCTCTCAAGATATAAGCAGTTTTAGTGTATGAGTGATATTTGGTTTAGATAATACGGTGCAGAAATCGATAGGAATGTAAACTAATACAGGTCACACCCACCTAAAATGGGCAAATGAGTAGACGAATATGGCATTAATCTTACTACAGCTACCATCACTCGTTGAGGAACTGAATTCAATTGAAATCATCTGTATATCCACAGTAACGGATTCCATATATGTCTCGACAACATAGATAAAGCCAACTATTTTGAAGCATTTTGTCGAAGCTTTTGTGTTACACTTTGATTGATGTAACACATAATTCGCTCATATAAAAACAAAATCAAAGTTGAGTAGCGTAGATTACGGTTGTAATTAAACAGTTGCTGGTATGTGTATGGAGCATGGAGTGCCCCATAACAACTGTGAGGGATAATGATAATATCTAGCTGCCAAGACCTTCGTAGGTGATGCGGACTTAAAACGCGTGACTCAGTGGTCGTAGGTTAGGGGTTTAAATCAGTGGACCACAGCTACATAACCGGCGTAAGCAGCACAGAAAATTGAGTAGAATCCAAAAGCGGACGGCAATGAGTGAAGCGATTATCAACATAAAAGGTTACCATTGCATACCAACGCTTTCGAACGACGAAAACACTACGTCGTTATCCACGTGACTCTACTTCGTCGATTCCTAAACAGTATTCTAAAGTGTAGATGGAAGTCCGCTATATATGGGCGTAATGATATGGACGGAAAATGTACTACACTTCATACATAAACATCTGGGGACACATCAATCCACTTTCTGACCTCCATAAAACATCCGCACAGACTAGTTACCTCTTGGGAGAGTGCAAATAAGAGGAATATAGAACACAACTGAAATACGGAAAAGACCGTATAAACTCGACTGAGAACTTGGCATTTATACGCTTACCTATTATAAGCTAAGGCAACACCTGACTGCAGCCTGAATTATGAGCAGTCCTAGTCATACAAACAACAAGGACCTCATGCAAGCTCCAAGCTGAGTGTTGATTAAAAAGCTAAAACTCAAGGTTTTGGTTTCCTTTCAGTTTGAGTATACAGCAGTTGAAACACCCTATTATCGACCGTAGATATTGTCCCCATTGAACGGAAGCCAGATGACGATCGGATACCATAGGTGTTGCATCTGTGGTGGACCTTAGACTCTGTTAGCTTAGTATCCCAAATTCAAATAGAAAATAAAATACCAAATCAGTTAAGTCACTGGAAGAATATATTAAAGTTTTGTTATTTGTGTATTTACAAGGTCCAAAATCCACAGTTAACGTAATAGACTCCAGAGGTATTGCGAGAAGACTGCTCCAATACTAATTCTCCAATGTTGATGTTGCAGAGGTCGACCAAAGCACCGTAGTTCCTTCCTACGTACTTTGGTCGACCTCTGCAACATCAACATTGGAGAATTAGTATTGGAGCAGTCTTCTCGCAATACCTCTGGAGTCTATTACGTTAACTGTGGATTTTGGACCTTGTAAATACACAAATAACAAAACTTTAATATATTCTTCCAGTGACTTAACTGATTTGGTATTTTATTTTCTATTTGAATTTGGGATACTAAGCTAACAGAGTCTAAGGTCCACCACAGATGCAACACCTATGGTATCCGATCGTCATCTGGCTTCCGTTCAATGGGGACAATATCTACGGTCGATAATAGGGTGTTTCAACTGCTGTATACTCAAACTGAAAGGAAACCAAAACCTTGAGTTTTAGCTTTTTAATCAACACTCAGCTTGGAGCTTGCATGAGGTCCTTGTTGTTTGTATGACTAGGACTGCTCATAATTCAGGCTGCAGTCAGGTGTTGCCTTAGCTTCTGTCTGTCTGTTTTCGACATAGAACTTTGCACAAATGTGCGGAAGTTCAAGTCGCCACATTCCGTGTAGCACGCGAAGCAAGAGAAGAAAGTAAAAGAAAAGCATAATAGAAACAGTGAGCAGAGGTGTGAGACAAAGGAGTAATAACGGAGAACAAAACAGTTTCATTGGAGATCATAAGTCACAAGGAGTGGATGCATCTGCGCCACTGAGAACGATTTTGAGCCATGTCACCAATTGTTTCCAACCATAGATTTTTACCGTCCCGAGGACCCCAGCCTGGAAGTCTACACCTTTCTACGTGGCTTAGACCAACTGTTGTGGATTTCATTGACTGATGCCAAGTTTTTGTTTGACCGCCGCTAGCTTTTTTCCAGCCTGACCCTATATCCGCTAACATTGCTCGTCGAGGGAGGCGATGACTTGGCATACGTAACACATGTCCTAACCATCTCAGTCTTTGTAGCTTCACGACTTCGTCGATTGATTTCCCCTGTTTACCTAGAACTCTACGCCTAACCTCAATGTTGCTCACCTTATTATGCCACTTTACACGGGAAACAGAACTCAGGCACCTATGATCAAAGGCAGCTAGTCTTTTCATGTCTTCCACTCTCAGTGGCCAGGTCTCACAACCATAAAGGAGGACGGAGCGGACTGATGAGCAGTACACCCGCCCTTTGGTCGATAGTCGAACATCTCGTCTACGCCAGAGTCTGCGTAAACTGGCAAATGCGAAACGAGCCCCCTGTTATCGTGCTGAGATTCCGTCAGAGATCAACCCGTTGAGGCTGATGGTACTTCGCAAATAAGTGAAGCGGTCAACGTGCTCTACCACTTCACTTCCTATTTTTAAACTAGGCGTCGATGTAGTCCAGTCCTGTAACATCATCTTGCATTTGGCGGGAGCGAATCGCATGCCAAACATTCGTAGATTGCGGCTCAAGGTGTTTAGAAGACTCTGCATTTCGTCAGCGTCTTCGTCTAGAAGGACTATATCGTCTGCATATTCCAAGTCAACGAGATTATTCCCCGGTAGCAAGTCAATCCCTGAGTCGCTGAAGTCACCTAGGGTTAAGTCCATTAACACATCTATGATGAAGTTGAATAGAAAAGGAGATAATGGGCATCCTTGACGGACACCACTGGTCGTCATCAGTTCAGATGACAGCTCGCCGTAAGCCCTCACCTGGCTGTATGAGTACGAGTAGAGTGCCTTAATCAGTGCAATATATTTGCTTGGAATTCCCTTTACAGCCAAGCATCTCCAGAGAACTTCCCGATCGACAGAGTCGAATGCTGCCTTTAGGTCAAGAAATATAATGACTGTTGGACGCCGGTAGGAATGCCTATTTTCTAGAATCTGTCGGAGGGTGAAGATATGATCAATACACCCTCTTCCTGGTCTAAAGCCTGCCTGGCTCTCTCGTGTTTGTGCTTCCCGAGCACCACTCAGTCTACGCATGATTATTGAGCCTAAGACTTTAGATACTATATTAGTCAAGCTAATCCCTCTGTGATTATCACAGGAAGACTTGTCTCCCTTCTTGTATATGGGGATAATCAGTGACTTACACCAACCCGATGGGACTTCTTCTGATTCCCAGACTCTGCCTAGTACCTCAGTTAATCCGGACAGTAATCTGTCTCCACCGTACTTAAATACCTCTGGAGTCATTCCATCAGGTCCCGCTGCTTAGCGTAGTTTCAGATTGGTGACAGCTTTAGTAACCTCAGTTAGTGACGGAGGACCTGTGTCTATATCCCATTCAGGGAGGTGTTGGATGCTCGGAAGGTTGAGCGTGGCTGTGGGCAAATTAAACTGCTCCTCATAATGCTCTTTCCAACGATCCAGTCGTCTTTCCTGGGAGCTAATTATAGTGCCATTTTTTTCCGAGATTGTCTCACTGATGATTTGTCTTCTCCCACCCGTTTCCCTGATGAGTCCAAAGAGTTGCCTGGTGTTGCCTATCCTCGAAGCTTTCTCCATGTCTTTGGCTTTTGTCACCCACCACTGTTCACGGTCCTTGCGGAGACTTTTCGTAAGTTTCCTCTTGTGCAGCTTTCGCTTAGCTTATAATAGGTAAGCGTATAAATGCCAAGTTCTCAGTCGAGTTTATACGGTCTTTTCCGTATTTCAGTTGTGTTCTATATTCCTCTTATTTGCACTCTCCCAAGAGGTAACTAGTCTGTGCGGATGTTTTATGGAGGTCAGAAAGTGGATTGATGTGTCCCCAGATGTTTATGTATGAAGTGTAGTACATTTTCCGTCCATATCATTACGCCCATATATAGCGGACTTCCATCTACACTTTAGAATACTGTTTAGGAATCGACGAAGTAGAGTCACGTGGATAACGACGTAGTGTTTTCGTCGTTCGAAAGCGTTGGTATGCAATGGTAACCTTTTATGTTGATAATCGCTTCACTCATTGCCGTCCGCTTTTGGATTCTACTCAATTTTCTGTGCTGCTTACGCCGGTTATGTAGCTGTGGTCCACTGATTTAAACCCCTAACCTACGACCACTGAGTCACGCGTTTTAAGTCCGCATCACCTACGAAGGTCTTGGCAGCTAGATATTATCATTATCCCTCACAGTTGTTATGGGGCACTCCATGCTCCATACACATACCAGCAACTGTTTAATTACAACCGTAATCTACGCTACTCAACTTTGATTTTGTTTTTTCATGAGAAACTCGAACGCCTCATTCTTGAAAAATCTGACATCACACTTAGATTTTGATATGAAGAAAACGGTTTATTGGATATAATACTTTCTGCCGTCTTAAAGCTAAATTCGGAGCAGCTAGCCCGGTTTTTTATAATACATACATAATCTATATAGATGAAGGACTAATCACTGGTTTAAGGAGATATCGATGCGAATTCATTATTTACACTCAAAATATTAAAAAGGGGAACTTACTGCAAATGATGATTCAGTTTCATCACTATCCCACTCGTCATCCCATTCATCAAATTTATCAGGTTCTCTTCCATATTCTATGTTTGGAAGTGGAGGAGGAGGAGCTATTGGTTCCGGCACTTCAATAACCTCAACGAATTCTAGTGGTACTAGTCCTTCTTTTCCAAATGCGTTAACAGCCTGCCACCAACCGGATCCAACATTCTGATTAGTGATTGTCAGTTCTTCACCATGAGTGACACTTAGTTCGCCACTCCCTTGAGCTGCGAAGTCGTAAATGACGCGTACCTTACTCGTTCTAGTGAAAATCACAAGAATAACTTACCTTCATTTTAAAACCAACCAAAGTTGGATGCAAACATAGCGAACATACTCCTAAAAACGCGAAATGGCAAATAACCAACAACTGAAGTTCAATATCCAATGTCAGTCGGCCTTGATGACAGCTGTATTACACCAGCTATGAAAATCGGTAAGTCACCTCCAGTGGATTTACAGGAGGAGTGAAATTTTAGACATCCGACAGGCGCGAACGCATCGATTGCCTTGGAAAAACCAGAACAAATCTGTGAAACCTAGGAAGAACATGTGGTTCCAATATCCAATATCCTGATTACGAGCTAGTATAAACCAGTGATTTCTTTGAGCTCGCTTCTTGATTGTGAGGTAGAGGTTCCAGATCTTCGGTGAGCTTCTGCGTAGTAAGTCCCGACACTCGACTGCTTTAGCTCTGGTAGACTCCAGGAGGAGTGGTGCGGGGATTGGTCGAGATGTGGTTTGTAGTATGCAGTATGTTAGGACTGTATTGCTGCCGTGAATGGAGTTTGACCTAACTCCCGTTGGTCATTCGGTGTAGTCATAAAAGCAGAATAGTAATAATATAATAATAATAATAATAGGTTGTAGTGTAGATAATATAGGTTGAGATAAGTGGAATAATAAAGGTGACCTAAGGAAAAGATAGAGTGAGAGAAGGCAGAATAGGTCGTGGGGATTTAGTTTGTACGCTTATTCATTGACAGTGTGGTTTCAAATTTTATGAGGATAAGCCATTGAGACACAAACCTTGCATTTCTGCATGATTGTCTAGCTTCCGCTTAAAAATCTCCAGAGATGGCGCTGTAGTCACGGCCGCCGGTAAAGCGTTCCAGAGACGGCAAACACGAAGCGAAAAGAAATGTGATCGCACTCGAGTCTTTGGTCTCTGGTGTGCTATCCTTAGCGGGTTACCTCGTGGAAGCCTATAATCGCTTAATGGCAGGATGCTTTTATTTGGGTGGGCCTGGTCATTTAGGATCTTGTAGACGGTGATGAGGTCTCCCCTGTGCCTACGGTAACTAAGTGTGAAAAGACCTAATTTCTTTAGTCTTTCCTCATATGATTTGTTGCGGAGGCCGATCACCCATTTTGTCGCTCGTCTCTGGACACTTTCTAGAATGTTAGCATCCCTTTTGAGTAGCGGAGGTGCAATGATATTATGCACCTCAAGGTGTGGCCTCACATATGCCTTGTATAGCCTTAAGAACAGTTCGGGAGTGAGAGCTCCCAGCTGCCTGTGCATAAAGTGTAATGTTGCGTAGGCTTTGGCGACGTCCCTCGAGTAATTTCCACTGGTGTCTAGCTTTTCTGTTAGAATAAGACCTAGATCACGCTCTGATGGAACACAACTCAAGTTCTGGCCACCAAGGGTGTAATTTACACTCTGTGACCTGCCGGAATGAAGCTGCACTACTTTGCACTTCTTTAGATTGAAAGGCATTCCGTTAGCCAAAGCCCAATTTCCCAGAGTTTGCAGGTCAGCCTGCAATCTATCTGAGTCTTCCGATGAGTTTATTGCTCTCCAAATCTTTACGTCGTCAGCGTAAAGAAGCGCAGAGCAGTTTAGTTGGGGGGCAGGTCATTGATAAAAATCAAAAACATCAACGGCCCTAGGATAGAACCCTGAGGAACCCCTGATGCCGAGGTGTGCCAGGATGATCGGATGCGGTTGACTTTGGTGCAGAATTCTCTCTCGCCTAAGTAATCTTTCAGCCATGCGAGAAGTGCTCCAGAAACTCCCGCCTTGCCTATTTTGTGAAGGAGCAGACCATGGTGAACTGTGTCGAATGCTTTCGCAAAGTCGAGAAAGATCACGTGGGCTGGTACCTTTTTGTCCCAGGATAGTGTCCAATCGTTCCAGGCTAGTAGAAGATTCGTCACGCAGGATCTTCCCCTCCTGAAACCGTGCTGTGCTTCGTGAAGAAGGTTAGTCCCATCGAAGTATTTTCTCATGTGGTCGTCAATGAGACTTTCCAATATCTTCGATACCACTGGAAGTAGAGCAACTGGTCTGTAACTGGTCACATTCTGCCGGTCACCACCCTTGAAGATAGGGGATAGGATTGCACGTTTCCATTCACATGGAAGTTTCCCTACATCAAGGGAGTGTTGGAACAGATCACTTAGGGGTTGACAGAGACTTTCTGAACACTGCTTCAGGACAGATGGTCTGATGCCATCACAACCTGGAGACTTTCCCGAAGCCAACCTTCCCAATTTTGCAAGTACCATAGCCGGGGTAATTTGAAATGTCCCCAGCAGGTTTTCGTGTGTTGGTTTTGCGATGTAATCTGGATGTTCTGTAGGGGTAATATCCTCGTTACTATTTAGTTGCCTGTGAAAGGCTAGGCTGAATGTCTCTGCCATTTCAAGACTAGTAAGAGATTTCCCATCAGAACCCACTAGATTGCATGCTCCCTGGTTGGTCGGTTTTCTTTCGGCCATAAACCTGTATAGGCTTTTGGGGTTCACGAGAAGCTTATTGGCGAGGTCTCCCTGAAATGTCCTTCTATCGCTCCGGACTCGTATGTTACATCGATTCCTGAGTTCAAGGTACACTTCATATTCGGGTTGACTCTTCGATCGTCGCCACGCGAACCAGGCTTTTCGCTTTGCCTGCAGAAGGCGTTGTGTCCCCCTTTTCAGCCATGATCGTTGCTTCCTAGCTTTTGGTGAGACTAAAGGAACAGTGTCTGAGACCGCCTGGTGAATGATCTCCTTTACCACTCTCCAGTGTTCTTCTACTGTTAGCTCTGTCCATTTTTTAGGCCAATTTGCTTCAGACAGAAGTCTTCGCATTTTGGTGTAGTTGGCTTTGTTATAACACAGATAGGGCTGTGTATTGTCCCACTGTAAGCGCTCGCGGAGGACTATGTCGAATACTATGACCGCGTGGTCACTACTACCTATGGGAGTCGTGATCTGAACGTTTTCCACTAGTAGCTGGTCACTAGTGAGCACGTAATCCAGTCTAGAAGACTTCCCATCAGGGCCCCATCTAGTATCCATCTTGACATTTTCAGTGAATCCAGCCTTCCTGATGGTATGCAGCAGATTTCGATCAAATCTATCATGGGCTTTTCCCGACACCAAGTTAAGAGATGGGGCATTGAAGTCACCAGCTATGACAATTTGATCATAACCCATGTCTTGAGTTGCTGAGATTGTATTTAGCAGTACCTGGTTGTGGTCTGCTCCACATGAAGGTGATCGATAAATGCTGCCCACTAGATATTTGCAGTACCCAACGGTGAAGTGGCACCATATGGAGTCAGGGAGCTCTGTGAGGGGAGGGTCCGTCGCGTGAACACATCTGAGCTGTTTGTCGACGTATATGGCGACTCCACCTCCTTCTTTCAGGTCCCTATCTCGCCTGACTAGGACCATATCATTTATACTGACTTCGCTGTCTGCCACCGTAGGGGTTAGCCAGGTTTCCGTCAGTATTATGATTTTGGAGTTTAGTTGTGATTGTAGGTGTCTAAGTTCAGCTATTTTGCCTCTTAGCCCTCTCACATTACTATACAGGCAACTGGTAGTCAGTCTCACCACTTCCCCGTATTGGGGGGTAGTTGACTTGATATTGGCTATCGGTTGAGGAGTTATCCTACGAACTAGTTGGCCGATTCCCCAGGAACCGGCCTGTTGGCGTTTTTTTCTTCTAGTTCAGTTGGAGCACTCGGATGACACTGGCTATCATCGTCCGTGCTGCACCGCTGTAGTGTGACTAGGGGTTGAGGATTTTTTTTACTACGCTTTGTTCTCTCCTTTGAGTGCGAGGCCGGCTCTCGCAGCAGCGAATGTGTTTGCTGACCTTGTCCTTGGTCTCGTACCATCTATGGAGAGCGGTATTCAACTGGTCTTGGGAGCTGAACTTGACAGCTAACAGACGTGGCGAGTTAATTGACATAAGATGAGTGGGTCGAGGCAGTCTATAAATAGAGACAGCCCCTGAACTTCCCAGGGCCATCTGGGATGCTAACCATCTCCATTGTTGTACATCATGACAATGCTTTTCGCAGGCGTTCCCAGTTACCAGTTCGGGAATGCCATGCACAACCATGGAGGCAGAAGGAATGAGCTCTGGCGACTCCCTCGCCATTTGTCTTTCCTTCCACGGCCTGTCTGGCTTAACACGTATGTTACAGGCCCTCCCTATAGAAAGGACTTGAGAAGCCAGTAACACTTTTTCAACATCCTCGGTAGAGCCCAATGTTACCCTCAGTGGGGATGGTTTGCCTTCAGGTGCAGCAGTGCCCCTATACAATCTGCATAGATTTACTGGTTGGATGTCCAAACCCAGTGTGCTACTCAAGATGGACCACTGTTCCTGATCAAATAGGGCCCTATCTTTCAGCAGACTACTGCTACAGTCTGGTACATTAAAGAGGATTACACAATTTGATCTGCTAACCGTGGGCTTGGGCTCGGTCCTCGCACGTTTGTGATCACCTTTAAGACCGTTTTGGTTTGACTGGTGCGACTGGGTATTTTTATGTGTCTCAGTGCTATAGCCAGCATTACTGATAGACGGTTGGGGTCTTTTTCCAACGACGGAAACCCGTGGTTCTCCAGCCTCTGTGTCTGGAGCGGTTATGGCAAGAGTTACAAGTTTAACCGGTGAGGATTTTGGTATCCCCGGTTTACGCGCGTTTGTACTAACTTCCGGATTGGTGGGGGTCGAGCTTTTCACCTTTTTCCCCGCTACTTCTGTGCCATCTTTAGTTTTCAAAGGACTACGCGAGGCTACATCAGGACGGCAACTCGGGCATATGTACCAGAACCATTGGCATGGGTTTTTACGCATAAAGTCATAATATGCTTTTGGTACCCCACTGTCGCATCTGCAATGCACCCATCGGTTGCAAAAGTTACATTCGAAAGCAGAGTCTGCTTGTTCGACAACAGAAGCACAGACCTTGCAGTCGTCTGTCTTCTTGGGGAGCGTTCTTGTCGTCTTGCGACGTCGTGAACGTTTCTTTTTGGCCTTCCTATTTGTTTCATGGTCTACCA